TAAGCTACTGGGCAAATAATCAATGAGTCAATAAGCAACTGGGCAAATAATCAATGAGTCAATAAGCTACTGGGCAAATAATCAATGGGTCAATAAGCTACTGGGCAAATAATCAATGGGTCAATAAGCTACTGGGTAAATAATCAATGAGTCAATAAGCTACTGGGCAAATAATCAATGAGTCAATAAGCTACTGGGCAAATGATCAATGAGTCAATAAGCTACTGGGCAAATAATCAATGAGTCAATAAGCTACTGGGCAAATAATCAATGAGTCAATAAGCTACTGGGCAAATATTCAATGGATCAATAAGCTACTGGGCAAATAATCAATGAGTCAATAAGCTCCTGGGCAAATAATCAATGAGTCAATAAGCTACTGGGAAAATATTCAATGAGTCAATAAGTTACTGGGCAAATAATCAATGAGTCAATAAGCTACTGGGCAAATAATCAATGAGTCAATAAGCTACTGGGCAAATAATCAATGGGTCAATAAGCTACTGGGCAAATAATCAATGGGTCAATAAGCTACTGGGCAAATAATCAATGAGTCAATAAGCTACTGGGCAAATAATCAATGAGTCAATAAGCTACTGGGCAAATAATCAATGAGTCAATAAGCTACTGGGCAAATAATCAATGAGTCAATAAGCTACTGGGCAAATAATCAATGAGTCAATAAGCTACTGGGCAAATAATCAATGAGTCAATAAGCTCCTGGGCAAATAATCAATGAGTCAATAAGCTCCTAGGCAAATAATCAATGGGTCAAAAAGCTACTGGGCAAATAATCAATGAGTCAATAAGCTACTGGGCAAATAATCAATGAGTCAATAAGCTACTGGGCAAATAATCAATGGGTCAATAAGCTACTGGGCAAATAATCAATGAGTCAATAAGCTACTGGGCAAATAATCAATGGGTCAATAAGCTACTGGGCAAATAATCAATGAGTCAATAAGCTACTGGGCAAATAATCAATGGGTCAATAAGCTACTGGGCAAATATTCAATGAGTCAGTAAGCTACTGGGCAAATAATCAATGAGTCAATAAGCTCTTGAGCAAATAATCAATGAGTCAATAAGCTCCTGGGCAAATAATCAATGGGTCAATAAGCTACTGGGCAAATAATCAATGAGTCAATAAGCTACTGGGCAAATAATCAATGAGTCAATAAGCTACTGGGCAAATAATCAATGAGTCAATAAGCTACTGGGCAAATAATCAATGAGTCAGTAAGCTACTGGGCAAATAATCAATGAGTCAGTAAGCTACTGGGCAAATAATCAATGAGTCAATAAGCTACAGGGCAAATAATCAATGAGTCAATAAGCTACTGGGCAAATAATCAATGGGTCAATAAGCTACTGGGCAAATAATCAATGAGTCAATAAGCTACTGGGCAAATAATCAATGAGTCAATAAGCTACTGGGCAAATAATCAATGAGTCAATAAGCTACTGGGCAAATAATCAATGAGTCAATAAGCTACTGGGCAAATAATCAATGAGTCAATAAGCTACTGGGCAAATAATCAATGAGTCAATAAGCTCCTGGGCAAATAATCAATGAGTCAATAAGCTCCTAGGCAAATAATCAATGGGTCAAAAAGCTACTGGGCAAATAATCAATGAGTCAATAAGCAACTGGGCAAATAATCAATGAGTCAATAAGCTACTGGGCAAATAATCAATGAGTCAATAAGCTACTGGGCAAATAATCAATGAGTCAATAAGCTCCTGGGCAAATAATCAATGAGTCAATAAGCTCCTGGGCAAATAATCAATGGGTCAAAAAGCTACTGTGCAAATAATCAATGAGTCAATAAGCTACTGGGCAAATAATCAATGGGTCAATAAGCTACTGGGCAAATAATCAATGAGTCAATAAGCTACTGGGCAAATAATCAATGGGTCAATAAGCTACTGGGCAAATAATCAATGAGTCAATAAGCTACTGGGCAAATAATCAATGGGTCAATAAGTTACTGGGCAAATAATCAATGGGTCAATAAGCTACTGGGCAAATAATCAATGGGTCAATAAGCTACTGGGCAAATAATCAATGAGTCAATAAGCTACTGGGCAAATAATCAATGGGTCAATAAGCTACTGGGCAAATAATCAATGAGTCAATAAGCTACTGGGCAAATAATCAATGGGTCAATAAGCTACTGGGCAAATAATCAATGAGTCAATAAGCTACTGGGCAAATAATCAATGGGTCAATAAGCTCCTGGGCAAATAATCAATGGGTCAAAAAGCTACTGGGCAAATAATCAATGAGTCAATAAGCTACTGGGCAAATAATCAATGGGTCAATAAGCTACTGGGCAAATAATCAATGAGTCAATAAGCTACTGGGCAAATAATCAATGGGTCAATAAGCTACTGGGCAAATAATCAATGAGTCAATAAGCTACTGGGCAAATAATCAATGGGTCAATAAGTTACTGGGCAAATAATCAATGGGTCAATAAGCTACTGGGCAAATAATCAATGGGTCAATAAGCTACTGGGCAAATAATCAATGAGTCAATAAGCTACTGGGCAAATAATCAATGGGTCAATAAGCTACTGGGCAAATAATCAATGAGTCAATAAGCTCCTGGGCAAATAATCAATGGGTCAAAAAGCTACTGGGCAAATAATCAATGAGTCAATAAGCTACTGGGCAAATAATCAATGGGTCAATAAGCTACTGGGCAAATAATCAATGAGTCAATAAGCTACTGGGCAAATAATCAATGGGTCAATAAGCTACTGGGCAAATAATCAATGAGTCAATAAGCTACTGGGCAAATAATCAATGAGTCAATAAGCTACTGGGCAAATAATCAATGAGTCAATAAGCAACTGGGCAAATAATCAATGAGTCAATAAGCTACTGGGCAAATAATCAATGGGTCAATAAGCTACTGGGCAAATAATCAATGGGTCAATAAGCTACTGGGCAAATAATCAATGAGTCAATAAGCTACTGGGCAAATAATCAATGGGTCAATAAGCTACTGGGCAAATAATCAATGAGTCAATAAGCTACTGGGCAAATAATCAATGGGTCAATAAGCTACTGGGCAAATAATCAATGAGTCAATAAGCTACTGGGCAAATAATCAATGGGTCAATAAGCTACTGGGCAAATAATCAATGAGTCAATAAGCTACTGGGCGAATAATCAATGAGTCAATAAGCTACTGGGCAAATAATCAATGAGTCAATAAGCTACTGGGCAAATATTCAATGGATCAATAAGCTACTGGGCAAATAATCAATGAGTCAATAAGCTCCTGGGCAAATAATCAATGAGTCAATAAGCTACTGGGAAAATAATCAATGAGTCAATAAGCTACTGGGCAAATAATCAATGAGTCAATAAGCTACTGGGCAAATAATCAATGAGTCAATAAGCTACTGGGCAAATATTCAATGAGTCAATAAGTTACTGGGCAAATAATCAATGAGTCAATAAGCTACTGGGCAAATAATCAATGAGTCAATAAGCTACTGGGCAAATAATCAATGAGTCAATAAGCTACTGGGCAAATAATCAATGGGTCAATAAGCTACTGGGCAAATAATCAATGAGTCAATAAGCTACTGGGCAAATAATCAATGGGTCAATAAGCTACTGGGCAAATAATCAATGAGTCAATAAGCTACTGGGCGAATAATCAATGAGTCAATAAGCTACTGGGCAAATAATCAATGAGTCAATAAGCTCTTGAGCAAATAATCAATGAGTCAATAAGCTCCTGGGCAAATAATCAATGGGTCAATAAGCTACTGGGCAAATAATCAATGAGTCAATAAGCTACTGGGCAAATAATCAATGAGTCAATAAGCTACTGGGCAAATAATCAATGAGTCAATAAACTCCTGGGCAAATAATCAATGAGTCAATAAGCTACTGGGCAAATGATCAATGAGTCAATAAGCTACTGGGCAAATAATCAATGAGTCAATAAGCTACTGGGCAAATAATCAATGAGTCAATAAGCTACTGGGCAAATATTCAATGGATCAATAAGCTACTGGGCAAATAATCAATGAGTCAATAAGTTACTGGGCAAATAATCAATGAGTCAATAAGCTACTGGGCAAATAATCAATGAGTCAATAAGCTACTGGGCAAATAATCAATGAGTCAGTAAGCTACTGGGCAAATAATCAATGAGTCAGTAAGCTACTGGGCAAATAATCAATGAGTCAATAAGCTACAGGGCAAATAATCAATGAGTCAATAAGCTACTGGGCAAATAATCAATGGGTCAATAAGCTACTGGGCAAATAATCAATGAGTCAATAAGCTACTGGGCAAATAATCAATGAGTCAATAAGCTACTGGGCAAATAATCAATGAGTCAATAAGCTACTGGGCAAATAATCAATGAGTCAATAAGCTACTGGGCAAATAATCAATGAGTCAATAAGCTACTGGGCAAATAATCAATGAGTCAATAAGCTCCTGGGCAAATAATCAATGAGTCAATAAGCTCCTGGGCAAATAATCAATTGGTCAAAAAGCTACTGGGCAAATAATCAATGAGTCAATAAGCTACTGGGCAAATAATCAATGGGTCAATAAGCTACTGGGCAAATAATCAATGAGTAAATAAGCTACTGGGCAAATAATCAATGAGTCAATAAGCTACTGGGCAAATAATCAATGAGTCAATAAGCTACTGGGCAAATAATCAATGAGTCAATAAGCAACTGGGCCAATAATCAATGAGTCAATAAGCTACTGGGCAAATAATCAATAGGTCAATAAGCTACTGGGCAAATAATCAATGGGTCAATAAGCTACTGGGCAAATAATCAATGAGTCAATAAGCTCCTGGGCAAATAATCAATGAGTCAATAAGCTACTGGGCAAATAATCAATGAGTCAATAAGCTACTGGGCAAATAATCAATGGGTCAATAAGCTACTGGGCAAACAATCGAAAAGGAAAAGGATGAGTGGGCAAAAGGACCACAATGGGAAAATGTCAATGGCCATCGTTTTGATCCATTCCAAAATCGGAAATTCATGAAAAGTTTAAAATCTATTTTCTTCCTTTTTTAACCAGTTCATCATGGAAAGTTTATATCACACGACACCCTCCTCCACGTAAAATATGTTATCGACATGAATTGTCACCTTCCACAAGAAATCTACTGCAGCTTGTATAACATGAGTCATCAAGGAACAGAATACTTCTCTTGTAGCAGTAAAGGAACAGCTATAAATCACAACAATGTGACAATTTCACGAGTTTTGCATAATAAGAATGAAACTTATTTAAAAGACATCCATGGACTGGCAATTCACAATCAAAATTTTACAAACTTTCCCAGAAATTTACATGAATTTTTCGCAGGATTGATGGCTATTCAAATTGTCAATTGTGGATTGAGAAATTTGACATTTGATGATGTCAAACATTATACAAATTTGAAAACGTTGTGGCTGCCACTAAATCATATTGAAGCACTAGAAAAGGGAATTTTCAATCAAAATCTTAAACTCGAAAAATTGACATTTTATGGAAATAACTTGAAGAAGATTGACTCAAATGTATTGAAGCCATTGAAATTTTTACTATTTGTAAGTTTTGAGAAAAATAATTGCATTGATATGGCGGCAAATAATGAAGGCGACATGGAAGTTTTGAAAGGAAGAATTGCTTGGTTTTGCACTGGAAATTGAAGTTTAATTATAACATTTTTCTTAATAAATTGTTTATAAAGCTACAAAAAATTGAGCAATTAATATTTATTTTGGGATCCATTTAGGGGTCGTACACTTATGACGTCCAGCATTTAGAGGGGAGGGGGGTTTGAAAAATTTGTGAAACATTGTCACAGGGGAGGGAATTGAGTCAGAAAATTATAACTATTTGTGAATTGAATTGGGCGTGATAAGGGGAGGGAGGGTGGTATTGACATCTGTGACAGATTTTTTCATTTCTGCGACAGTTTTGTTCACTTTGACTCTCAGACTGGTTTTACTGGATTATCTTTTAATTGATTTTGATGATAAGTTGTTTGCATTCTTTGTACTTGCTGATATTGCCCCTGACCATCTTGAACTACTCTGTTGCGGTACTGAACAACTCGATTCTTATTTTCATGCTTAAAACCTGTTCGACGATGAAAATACTCAGGATCTGGTGCGTATGGATCGATAGCTTGTGAAGTTTGTTCGACTGGGTAATAAATTTGGTTATCTTGATGTTTTGGCTGTTGATGAGCACTTTGCGAATATTGAGATTCTGGGTTATTAATGTGGGGATTAACAGTCTGTAAATCAATAGTTTCAGTCTGTTCTTGAGTTTGACGCCCTTGGGCCTGTGGATTATAAATACCAGACTTTTGGGAATGTGTATAATCAATTTGAGGGGCTTTGGTCTGTGGATCATGAATACCCGACTTTTGGGTCTGAGTATAGTCAATTTGAGGTGCTTTGGTCTGCGGATCATTAGTATTAGGCTGTTCAGTTGGTGTATAATGAGTTAGAGGTGCTTGAGTCTTTGAATCATAATCTGGCGTTGAAATTTGAGTCTGATTTTTAAAGTATTCATCTTGCTTCACTTGAGTGTCATTTTGTGGTTTTTTGGCTTTTGTAATGTGAAGCTGTCGATAATTTTCATAGCACACACTTAGTAAATCTGTCATATTGTACTTTCGTAAAATTCTTTCTTGACAGCAAATATTACCAGATAGATCAAAATCCTCACAAGCTGGAAACTTTTCATCAATAGCTATAACTGAATTAGATACTAAACCTAGTTTCTTCATTGTTGTAACATTTTCAAAAGCTTCTGCTCGAATGATTGTGATAAAATTATTATTAAGCCACAACCATTGCAAACTTTTTAAAGGAGTGAAAACAAAATCAGGTAAATCCAAAATCTCATTAAATTCCAAGTCCAAGATTCGCAATTTTTCCAAATTTTTGAAGCTACTTTGGTGCAAAGCTCGAATGTTGTTGTGGTGAATGTAAATTTTTTCTACTTTTTTAAGGTTTGTAAATATTCCTTGGGGTAAGTTGCGAATTATGTTGAATTGAAGATATAAAATATTCAATTCGTGCATATTTTGGAACCAAACTGGACTTAGATGTCTAATTTGATTCTTTTCTAACTTCAATTCTTGAAGACTAGTCAATGAAGTAAACGTTTTCTGTGGAAATGTGTCAATTCGGTTTTCAGATAAATCCAAAAATATCAAAAATTCTTGATTTGATAAAAGATTTTCAGGTAAAGTCGTTAAATTGTTCTTTTCCAGTTTTAAAGAAATCAATTTTTTATTTTTGTTAACCAAATTTTCAGGAATTTTTTCAAGTTGATTTTTCCACAAAGACACTTCATTTAAACTTTTACAGTCAATGAATGAATTTTCATCAACAACTTTCAAATTAGCACTTCCAAGTTTGATTTTTTCAAGATTTTTATACTTTTTGCAGAGTGGTAAAGTGACGTTCTTAAAATTAAGGTTAGATTTTAATTTGTAAAAGATTTCTGTAACATTTTCATTATTGAAGCCTACGAGATGTGTTTCATTTGAGTTTTGAACTATCTCACAGCTGTAACCTGGTGATCCGACAACGTTAAGTGCATATTTGCATTTTTGAGTTGCAACAATCGATATAATGTTAATTAATATAAAGATTAATGCTTGGAACTTCAGGAATTTTGAATGCATTTTGTGATTCTATAACAGGAAAGATAAAATTTATTAAAAGTTTTTCAATGATGTTCGAAAATTTCAAAGCAAAGCATCTTTTAGGGACTTAAGAGCCTGGTTATCGTTTTTATAAACTTATCCATTAAAGAAAACTCTAGCAGTTCAGACCTTAAGATCCATAGCTGCGCGTTATATGCGTTATAAGGCTGATGATAGCTAAACGAGAGATAGTTCGCGAAACCTCCCGGTCAAACCTAGACCTACAGTTTATAGTGAGATCCGAACAAATCTCTTTTATGACATTTCTGCTTATGACCTCCAAAGGAAGGCTTTGAACCTCATTTCTAGTACATATGATTTGAAAAATAAGCTGTTGATAGAGACATTAAAGCACTTGGTTTTGGAAATTGGCAGACGGTAACCAGCGATAGAACTAGCTATAGGCATCAACTAAGGGAGGTCATGGATAATAATTGATCAGTCCGACCAGCGAAGTAAGTAAGAATGATTCGAAAAAGGACAAGCGAAAAAATATCTCATACTGAGTTTCGAACCGATGATCGCTGTGTCAGTATTGCAATAATTGGTTACCGAAGTACTAAACCATTCCACCACCGAGCCACTTCAGCTCACAAACGTATTCATCCGTAAATCCAAATTATTACACGATTGGCGCAATTTGGTAAATCGATCAGAAATTTGGCACTAATTAGGTGTGACCCTGATATGATGCTGGATTTAAATCGAAGCCAGCATCAGCCCAGAGTCATGCTAACTTGGCGTTTTTTTTAAAAATTAAAATTGATAAATTTCGAAGTTCTCATCACTGCATAGAAATAAGTCTGACCTCATAAGCATTGTTACCTACAAACTCGCGTTGTCAAAAGTCAATAACGATAACCTTTTAGGAAATCCCAAAAGTTATCAACACAAATAAATTATTCAATTAAAGAACAAATGAAATATTTACCGAAATTCCAAATTGTTGCCAAATTTTACGAGCTTAGACTTTTAAAAGCTTTTATCTAATATCTTGTATTACTTTTGTAGTATTTCTAATCTTAAAAAATTAAATAAATCGAAGTTAATTCTTTACACAATCACACAGTCTGAGGCATAATAAAACTCTGATTAATTTTATTGTAATTTCAATTGAATGAGCATGAAGAGAGCGAGACTCATTCAGACTCAAAAATATTGTCAGTTCTCAAAAAGAATCAAATCGTTCAAATTATGAGCAAATAGCATTGAAAATTATCTTTGAAATTAAATTAAAATATTCAAATAATTTAAAAATTTCCTTCAAAATAACGGTCAAAAATATTTAAACAAACTTTTCATCACTACAACATGAAGTTAGCTCCCACTTTCCCAATCAACTTTCCCAATTGTTTACAAAAATCAAAACACTGAAAAATACGCTTTTTTAAGTCCTTCTAAAAATTTACTTACAAGACAAGGGAAAAAAGTCATTTGTGACCTTTCAAAAAACGCACGGCAATGAATACATTGAATCGATTGTGCCGGATTTGTCTTATGCCAGAGGATACGGTGACTTTTCAGAGAATTTTGGATTGTACAAAGAGATTTGCATTGGATTTGTTTTATGTCACTCAGATTAAGGTATGATATGGATTGTAAAGTGTTTGGTTATTAAAGTGGGGATGAAGTCCTCCAAATTTATGAAAATAATAGTTTTGAAGAGGATTTAATTATTTTTTGAATTCTGGATTAATTGAATTGTTGATAAAGATTTGTTTTTTTTTGTCAATTTTTAAATTGTTTTGAAATTCTTTTTAACGGTTTTTAATTCATTTTTTACTGCAGTTGATGAAACCATATTTTTTTTTAAATTTTTAACTTCAAATTGAATTGTTAATTTAATATTAAATTTTTCAAAGGAGCCGTTCACTTATGATGTCCATAATTCACGGTCATTTTTCAAAAAAGAACAATAAATTTCCTGGAATTTCTTTTGTCCTCTTATTGACCAAGCCCCCCCCCCCCCCCCGTCTCCCTCCCCCATGGACTTCATAAATGAACAATCCCAAATACATTTTAAGATTTTTCATAAAAACCAAAAAAATTTATAACGAATATTTAAACTTACATGTTAGATAATTGAAATCGACAAGACCGTTCCAGCACTCATCTGTCCACGTTGTACTATTGACCTCACATCAGCTTCAAGGTTCAAAAAGATTTCTCTTGTTGCTGACTCATATTTCCACAAACTCCTCCAACCACATGAAGATCAGTTCCTTAATCAAGACAATAATGAAACTAAAGAGCCTGAAAAAATTGAGGAGATTCAACAAGACGAAGAGGTGAAGGACGAGGAAGTGGAAATTGAAGTCCTTGATGAATATTTAGATGATATAATTGAATATGATGAATTTGAGGAAGTTCCAGAAGCACTTAAAGATGACAATACGACAGAAGAATACTTCTTGATTCCAATAGAATCGGAAATTCCTCAAGAGAAACCAAAAACACCAATTGATGTGAAAAGGAGGATAGTCACTGGAAACAAGAACATTCACGAGTGTTTTTGTGGTGCGAAATTTGTTTCTCCACATAGATTAAGTAATCACATTAAAGTAAGACATACTGAGATTCCGGATGAGGACAAACTAACGTGTTTGACATGTGGGAAGAAATTTAAGATCCAGGAGTATTTAGAGCTACACATAAGGTATGCGAAAATTATCAAGTCGACGAAATTTTGTCTTTTTGTAAGCTTTGTCAAAATTCTAACCTCAAATTATTAATTTTTTTGCAGAAACCAGCACACAGACAACCCAATGAAGCATCGCCAAAAAGTTCCTTGCTCCATCTGTGGAAAGGTCTTAAAATCAATCGTAGCACTCAAAAACCATGAAGATAAGCACATCGCTGATTCTCTACCAGAAAGTGAGACTAAGAAGTTCTCTTGCGACTTGTGCGGAATGAGATTCCGTTTGAAGTGCTATGTCTTTAATCATATGAATAATGTTCATCTAAGGAATAAATATCCATGCGAGTTCTGTGGAAAAGGATTCTATAAGAAGTATGAAAAGATGGAGCATGTAGTGAGGATGCATACAAATGAACGACCAATTTTATGTGAATATGAGGGATGTGGAAAGACTTTTGCAAGGCAGAAGAATTATAATATCCATAAGGTGAGTGCTTGATATCTGCTTAATTCTTTTTCTAGGCTTACCTTAGAATCTGCTAATATTCAACAATTTAAATCTTTTATTTACAGAGAATCCATACAAACGAGCGTCCGTTTAGCTGTGAATATTGCGAAAAAACTTTTATACACTTCATAGACAAGAAGCGGCATGTAATGACCCACGTAAGTTTAAACTAGATCCTAGATCAGTGTTGTCCAAACTGTGTGCTGCGGTACACTGGTGTGCCATAAATTTTTTTTTTAAATGACTCGAGCCGCATGCTGTATGCGACTTTGGTAATGGCTTACCCCTAAAGTGTGCCATGGTTCAAAAAAGTTTGGACAACATTGACCTAGATTTTGACAATTTGATCATAAATTTTAATTCCTCTTGTAAATTTCAGACTGGAGAACGTCCGTATCCTTGCAAAAGTTGTCCGAAAGCATTCATGAGAAGAGCAGAGCTTGAGGTTCACAGTCGATCTCATTTTGGATACTAGAAATTATAAAATTATTTGATTATAGACATAAATAAAAGCATAAATATTAATTCAAACAGTTCAATCTAATTCAACTCGAAAAAGTTACATCATTCTTCAGAAAAGTTTTTTATCAATTTTCTTTATTGTTCCTTCACAAAATTCATTTGCATCATATTTTCATGCTGGTCAAACAAAGCTAGCTTATTTTAGAGTTTGTTTTATGAGCTTAAACTTGAAGCTTTATTTTTCAAAATGATTTTAGCTCTTTCAGTAGAGCTTAAGTAATTTTCAAGGCGTGGAAATTCAGGATTAATCCTGAAAAATCCCAAAAAAGACCTAAAAAATTCCTGAGCAAATAAACATGAAAATGTTAAATCCCTGATGCATTTGATAAATAGTTTCGGGATTTAAAAGGAATTTCTCATTTTAAAGTTTATTGGATTTGGGATTTTTTTATGAATTTTCAGGATTTTCAGGATTAATCCTAAATTTCCACTTCTTGGCCATTTTTAACACATTCAGTTCCAATTCTTTCATGTTATTCATGACAAAACTTTATCCAGATAGTCCCTGGTGCTTGGAATTTTTCTCTAGTTCATTTATCTAGCAATTTTCATCTTGTTTTATTTATTTTTAATTGAAATAGTTCATTTTTTAATCCAAACTTTACTAATTGATCCCCCAAATGGCACAATTCGGTTAATCGAATAGAAATCCTATGCCCAGCCGGTATGACTCTGGCATGGTGCTGACTTCGATTTAAATCCAGCGTCATACCAGTTTGGTGCCATTTTTTGATTAATTAAGCAACTTGTGCCAATCGGGTTCAATTCTAAATGACTAATTTACTTTAGACGAAAATAATGTCTTTTTTGATTTTTCATTTCTAAACATAAACTTATTAATTGATATCATTTCAAGCCACAATTATTCATTAATTTTAAAATTTATTTTTCCTTTTATTATTGTCTTAGAATTTTTTATTTTATTGACCAGTCAAGGTGCATCAATTTTGAGTAGTAAAATATATTTGTCATTGTTTTCTAAAAATCTTTAAGCTTGACTGAAATTTCAAAATTATTTTTGGCCGATAGTCCAAAAAACACAAATTTAATAACATTTATGGCCTTATAATATGAATTTTGTGCTGCCTGGACTTAATATTGAAATTTGAAATAAGCTCAAACTTTATTTATTTTAATTTTTTTTCTTCTTTTAATGACAAACTTCGTTGTTGTAAAAAGCACGGATCTGCTTTATAAGATTTGCTACTTTTCAGGAGTAAAATATTTATTTTTTGTGATATTTTTTAATTATTATATTTAGTCTGAATTTCCATTAATTGTGTGAAATTTTTCCTGAAGTTTTGCAATTATAGCCGCACTGTTATTTATAGCCTTCTTTGCATAGTCCAATGGTGTCAATCCCATCATGTCATGTCGATATTCCACTTCCTCTTTCAATAAATAATCAATAACATTCATGTGTCCATGCAAAGCTGCTAAATGAAGTGCTGTTCTACCAGAATTATCTTGCAATGACAAATCAACTCCAGCAAGTCTATATGACTCCAGTCTTTTAACTAAACCTCTTGCAGCTGCACCAGCAAGTGAATCACCAAGGCTTCTTGTTGATCCAAAAATATGTGCACCACACTTGAGCAATAACCTGATGATTTCATGATTATCATGGTTAATTGCTTCAACTAGTGGACTTCTATCGTATCTGTCACGAATATGTACGGCAGCTCCATTAAGTAGTAAATGCTTGACTACTTCATCATTACCTTCAGCACATGCGATATGAAGTGCTGTTCTTAAATCATAGTTTACTGCTGACAAATTTGCTCCATAAGTTCGCAGCATGTCGATTTTGTTAATGTCTCCGGCAACGACACTCGCATTGACCATGGCTGGGAAAAGGACTGCGCCAAGCTGGAGATTGTATTGAAATAAAATAAAATAATTTTTAAAAATAATTAAGAGTTCTGTCACACCTGCTCCAACTCTTTTGGTGTAGATAGATGCAATGATCTAGCAACAGCATCAACAAGATCAAATTCTTGTAATTCAGGTCCCTTTCCACTTGTCAATTCTCCTCGTAAATTATTCTGCATCATTGTCTTCTTAGTTTCTAATGACCAGTCGTCTTTTGATAAAACATATGAAAGTTTTACGAGAGCTGCTTCGGGTGTCATGTCTTAAAAGTAGGAGGTTTAAATAAAGTAAGTAATTTTGAGGTTACAAATCTGTCTATCTATTAATTTTTGACTTACCATATCCATTAATAACTCCAATATCCAATAAATGACGACCAGTTTCATATAATTCAACAACTGATCCAGTAATACATTGAGTGCAATTGACAATAATGACTCCACGTTCACTAGCGTCTTTTAATACATCACTGAGGTCTTTTCGGTTACTTGGGACGTTTCCAGCCTGAATAATAAGCAGTGCTTTAGTAAACAACAGGAAAATGCAATAAAATCAATAACTCACCCCAAAACTCTGCAACACAACACCCTTCAACTCCTGCAAAAATGCTTTAACTGAATTTGCCAAAATATTTGGAAAAATTCTCAAAATTCCAACATTCTCATCCAATTTGGCATGAACAGTGAATTTAGCGACTGTGCATGGTCTAAATATCAATCTGTAATCAATTTCGACATTAATTCCCATCTTAGCGATCGGAGCTACATTCGGTGAATCAAAAGCATCTAAAGATGCACTCGATACTTTAATTGTGCGATTACCGCGAAACAAGCGTGAATTAAAGAAGACACAAACTTCTGGAATGACGTAGTTGCCTGCGATGATTAATGCGCTCATGAAGTTGTCTTTTCCATCTGTTCGAGTTTCGAAAATTGGAATTTGTGATCCTGTAATGATGACTGTCTTGCCAAGGTTTTCAAGCATGAATGAAAGAGCTGATGCTGTGTATGATAAGGTATCGGTGCCATGAAGGACGACGAAGCCATCAAAGAACTCATAGGATTGCTGAACAAGTTAAGAATTAATAAAATAAAAATAAAAAGTTTAAAATTTAACTGCCTTACTTTAATATCTTGAGCAATCTTCATCCAGTCAGTAAATGACATATTTGATGAGTCCAAAAGTGGTTCATATTCCGTGACTGTATAAACAATTCTTCGGTGTTCTCCTTGAACCTGAAAATTATTTATCAATAATTATTTGAAGCTTTTTCTAGTCAGATTGTGTTCCCGAACAGACAAAGAGAATGCTCTTGATGAATATGCTCACTTAAATGTACTGACTGAGTTAACTCGTGAGCATACTCAGCTAGTATATTTTAGTGAGCATACTCATTGAGAGCATGCTCTTTGTCTGTTAGGGGTTTGTGAAACTTCATTTCATTGTCAACAAATTCTTATTTTTATATCATCATCTTTAGAATATAAAAATTCTGTTATTGGAAACAACCAAAAACACTTTTACATTTGGTATTCAATTTGCAAATTGAAATTTTTTTTGATGCTTTTTGTGCATGAAGAGCATTTTTTATGAAAACCAGGACTTAAAAACTCAGGATTAATCCTGAAAAATCTCTAAAATCCCCGATGCAATTGATGAATAATTTCGGGATTTAAATGGAATTTCACATTTTCATGTTTATTGGCTCAGAGATTTTTAGGATTTTTGGGATTTTTCAGGATTAATCCTGAGTTTCCACGCCTTGATGAAAACAAATTGACACGATGAGGTTTGCAGTCATTCTAGCAGTTTTACTTATTAGTTTTGTTTATTGATTAAATCAATATGAATGATACTGTTGTTTGGTAATGTTTGATTATAATATTTCGAAAAACACGACTTGCGTAAAAAGCCACGAACTCCAATTCTTGACTTACGTTAGGTAACATATAAGTTGGCAAATTACTCATATAAAGTGTAAATGGAGATCGATTAAAATGCTTCCAATGTCTATGGATACTCTTGATGGAAGTCTTAGCTAACGAAAGGGGAGTGGACAAGCTGTGAGGAACGGAAGTTAAAATGATATTTGTATCTCGAGAGGAAGGTTTTTAAATTCTAATCACAAGAGGAAAGGGCTACTTGCGCCACTGATTTGCTTTTGATTTTGTTTTTGAACAAATTAAAAAATCAGATAGCTATTGACATGATTTGAAAACACCGATTTTATTAACGATATTAAAATGACTTTCAAATCCACAACAAAAGATCAAAAAAGAATCTTTCAACCTTCCCACAAATCATTTGTTTTATTCAAAAACTTATTTGTACAAAAACTTACGTGTGGTAGGACGAGTGGTGCCATTGTTGAAGCTTTTCCAAAACGCTGAGTCGCATATTCTTCGTCGTACATTTGTGGGTGTTTCCTTTAAAATATAGATTTCAAAAATTTTGATTATAAGGGTTTGCTGAGTTGTAATAATAAATTCATGAAACCTGACATTAAAATTGGATTTACGACTTTTAAATAAGAATTTTTAATTTTCAAGATAATGAAGTTCAGCTACATACTGCATACAGGCAATCCCAAAAGAAAGTATTAAGTTTATGAAGACATTATGGAAATGGCAATTGCTTATGCATATAAATTTAAACATTATCTTTCTTGTCTTTTTAGGCTTATGACATTTTTGCTTTTATGATCTTTATTTGAGTTAATCAAGACACAAGTCTGCAGTTGTTTTTATTTGAATTTATCACAATAGTTTTTTTTTATCTTATTAGTAGCATGCTTGACCTGAATAGCATAAGTAGGTTAATCGAATATAAAAACAGCACAAAGCAGGTATGATTCTGGCATCAATTTGAAACCAGTACCATTCCAGAGTCACACCGGTTTGGTGCCAGATTTCTGATTAATTATCCGACTTGAGCCATTCGGGTGAATCATAAGACATACAGAACTAGATGTCAACTAGACTTTAACACGACATATGTGCAATCCCTATGTCCAGTTAAATGAAACCTACAAAATTTGTCATTAGTCGTTTCTAAGTCTAGTTGCAAAGGCAAGTCAATGGCAACCTTTTAACTTGTTCTTTGTCCACTCTGGAATAGATCGATTCAGACTCAAAATATTGGCAAATCTCATTAACATTAATTCCTTTAACGCATTTAAAGAGCAAACTTGAAAGTTTTTATTAATAGTACTAAATATGTAAGTTTTTCCATCTATTAAATAACCATAAATTCAATAATATTGTCAAGTCTATAGCAGACACTAAACAATTACATCTAATTGCTCATATTTACCTTATTCTTTTTACAAGTTGATTTGCAATCGGAGCGAGTGCTAAAAATAAAATTCAAGAATATAAAAAAAGGTGTCAATAAACATTCACTGGACGTCACATTAGAGCAAATATTTTGAAAACATCTGGCAAAACTGATCAGATGTCGACTTGGGTGTGATAATCAAATTAGCAATCTTATAGTCGTAAACTTTAAAAAGAGTCATACGACGTGCATGTTGCATGCCGATAATTTGTTCTTTTTTGCTTACCATTTTTTTCGTTCCTTAGCATTCCAATTGTTCCACCTGTTGGGTGAGAAAATGAAGAGCATGAGACGTTCGTGTTTATGTGACAATAGGAAAGTATTATTTCTTATCAAATATTTATAAATTAGCTAAAAGGTGGAATCAAATAGGAAATAACATTACCTGTATATAAAACCAGAACCCTAGCCTCTGTCTCTTCTGTTAAATTTCCATAGCTTGCATTTCGCTTTATTTGAGCGGTTGGTTGTTGGCCAATATTATGTTGCGCATCATCTTGTGCTGTTGGTTGCAAGAAAACTTTTGTGCTTGTCGGACTCATTGGTGTTGGTTCATATAAACTCATAACAGACTCTTGTTTCATAAAAATACCACAGTCTTCATCAGATCTATGTGAGTAAGCCATTATGTCAGTTAATTCTTTTTTATATTATTTTTGTCGTTATTTATTGTCAATTAATTTCCTTGTGCCTTGGTTAGTTCTTCTGGGTAAGATTAAAATAGGAAGAAAACATGTTTGAAGATTGTTTGAGGTTAGTATGAGTTAGATAATAAATGATCCGGAGTGGACACAGCCAGTTAAAGTTCATTAATAGACAAACATTTACCAGTTAATAACTTGCCAAAATGCAAAAGACATACAGAACTAGACGTTAATTAGACATATGTGCAATTCCTATGTCCAGTTAAATGGAACGTGCGAAATGTGTCACTAGTCGTCCTTAAGTCTAGTTGCAAAAGCAAGTCAATGGAAACTTACTCGCCATGAATTGGCAAGCTTTGAACTAGTTCTTTGTCCACTCGGGGATGTTAATAAATACATTAAATATTATAAATCTAGATAAATATCAAGGAAAATTAATGAAATGCATTCAGATGAATGTTAATTATAAATGCATGGCAAACCAGAAATAGAGCTAGCTTATTCCTTTAAGTGACTAAAAATTAAGGTTTGAACATTATCATCAGAACCAATGTTCATGCTCATCTAATTATTTAAAAAATGTCTCGAGTTATGGCAAGTCGCAGGACACTCCATACTTATTTAATAGATTATTTAAGATCTGATAAGTTTCATTTCTACAAAAACTTCACGAACTTTTCAATAAACCACAAAACTCAATTTCTTAACAAAATCTAGTGCCAATTATCCATCACTGGACATGACTAAGTTTTTTAAATTTCTTTGACATCTTTGCACAAGCTTGCACTTCGAACAACTTACATGACCAAACAATTAAAAACCAATTTGTATAATTAGTAAAAAAATGTCTTCAGACTTAATTGAAAAGCAATTGCGGTCGAAGTAATGCAGATAATTTGGTCAGAAGATGGGGGAAACTTTTGGTGACAACGTTGTTGGTTCAATTGATTAGCGTAATTAACATTTGCAGTTTTAATTACTATTTTAATATATTGAGTCTAGGGTTTCTGAAAACCGGATTTTTTGTTTTTTCTCAAGAAACGGCAGTTAACGGGTCCGTTTTTTTAAGACTTCCAAAAGTTATGTTCTGTGCCCGGTTTTGAGACGTACTAAAATTTTGCTTTTTTGAAATAATTAAGTTTAAAATTTTTGAAAGCTAGTTCGTTACTAAAATCACCAAAATTCCTTTAACGGGGCTTCAGAAACCCAAAAAAAATCACATATGAAAAACAAATTAAATATTGAAAATATTATAATAATAAATGAATCACCAATTAAAAACCCGATTTCAAGTCACATGTTCAGATACTCAAAAATATTTTATGTCTCAATACGCAAAAAACTTAATCATAATATTTAACGACCACACAAGTTCTTGGAAATATTTCAATTCTTAGAATTTTGTGCACGTGAAGTTATTATTGGAAATGCAAAGATAATTTTATGACCAAAAAATCCAAATGGGTGTGTTTGCTAATGTATTGATAAGCAACTGCCTTAACAGCACCAGAGGGGCTTAAAAATTTTAGATAAAATTTTTGCAAAGTCATTGTGGTTTATCAAGTAATTTTGAAGGTTGAATTTTATGTCTAATGTCGTAAACATTAGAATTTAGTTTGGTCTCCAATTCAAGAAATTTTAACCTTTCGCCAAAAAATCATTAAATTATCTACAAGAAAAGCATGAAGAGGGACCAGCATTTGAGTTGAAGTCACTGCAATTCAAGTTAGAATCCGAATCACTTGCAAGCTCTGCACATTGCAAAGACACGTGTACGTCTAAAGACCTAATGTACCCTGCAATGTACCTAGTCACAATTCGTGTGCGTAATGAAATCGTCCAAATGCTAGGATATCCTAGTATATCCACAACAAGTCGAATTTAATAAATTCAAACTATTCTAATCATTTCTCATTACTTGGCAACAGGTAAATATTTTATCAAAACCTATCCAAATATTAAATAGAAAAGTGACGAAGGCAGCGATTCTAAACAAACATTAATTCGTTAAGCAAATAACCGTAAACGATATGAAAATTCTTGAGATTATTTTCTTTATTTGATTTTGCATAATCATTTTTATTTACGTACTAATAATGTTTATTTTATTATGTAGCAGATATGCGTAAAATTTGCTCGAAAACTACTCAAGGTTGTTTTATTTACTTCCGAAAATAAGAATTTTTATTGAACTAAATTAAATGGTTTAATATCTTAGCAAGTAATAATTGTAGTGCATTCAATTGTATATTAAATATGAAATAGGGCTGTCAGGGGCATTAATAATTTTAAGGTTAGGTTTAATTTAAATTATGAATGACTTTAAAAATTTGAACCATCCAGAAATCTTCTGAGGAACGAATTTAGGCTCCTAGATATTCGATTTCCTTATTCGATTTCCAAAAAAAAAATAAAATATTTTGCAACATAATTCAATCTCAGAATGATGAGAGCTTCGGGAGTATTTAAAATCCTTCCTTTATTGACTACGTTCCTGACTTAAAAGGTCTTCTTTTATCTAAGCAATATATGAAACTAGTTAACTTTTCATTGGCTGTATCTTTGTTATTGAAAGATTAAAATCTGCAGGAGCCTTAGTCAAGATTGACTAATCACATTGAATGATCTTCTAATACAATTGAAACGTGAGTAATGATTTTTAATTCTTACTTCAGTAAATTTTATACTTATATTTATAAATATAATACATTAACAGTCAAGTATGAAAAACAGATGAAATTGTATCGTTGCCAAAATCAGGAAAATTGTCAAGTGCGTTACTCTGACATTTAAGAGATTTCGATCGAATTTCATCATCGGAAATGAGAAAAATTCTTTTTTTTTATCACCTTTGAGAGTCGCGTCATTTCATGAATTTTCAATTCGATTTCAACATGCACGTTTTTTATGAATATAATGAATAACATTTTAGGTAAATATGAACTTTTAACGATCGACAAGATAAGCTCAAATCTATGCATTCACGATTTCTTGCTCCCGCAAAATTACCGGGAACGGGACAAAATTTTAGACTCAAATATTAACATGATCTTTAACATATTAAGGATTCTTTGTGTTTAAATGATGCCACACTTCAATTGAGACAATTAGACATTTTAATCTTTAATTATTTTTATTCATCTAGATAATTCAGTTTAAAAAATTGCGTTCTGTAATGAAAATTGCTGGAATTGAAAATCGTGAAAACCTTAAATCCAAAGCAACATAATTTAAAAAATGAATTTTTCTAAATTAAGATTGCCATTTATATTATCAATAAAATATCAAAAAAAGTGTTCGTTTGTCATAAACTGGAAGTTTGTAAAGACATAAATAACCAAGATACCTCCAAATATATCAAGTGCAAGTCCTCAAGAATAGATAGACAGTAATTAGATTGAGTTGTCAAAATATTATTTTATGATGTCCCCTGAGTTGAAAAAATTGATTAATTTTATGGAATTATGAATTAATGACGTTATTTATTGAAACTAAATGCTTCAGATAAGAGTAAATTTTACGGTTTGTCCTTCGTGATCTGATCATCAACAATCTCAAGCTAATAATTATCTTGATTAATATTTTTTCTTCCAGAACATTCGTCAATCAATTTACCACAAAAATAATAAAAACCAAATTAAAAAAATAATTTTAAATGACGAATCGACTTGTTATTTGCAATTTAAACTAACCATAAGGCACAAAAAGAAGGAACAACTTTGTTTTGATTCAGTTTTACTGATAATAAAGTCCAAGACCAAAAATAAAAACCAAATCTTGACTTTACCTTTTCATTCGTTGCTTTAGAATTTCTAAATAATTATCAAAAATATCCTTTTTCTTTGCATCTTTCGGTATTTCTTCAAAAGTTCTTCCACAGTGATCCAACATGATTTATTTTTAGAATAAAGATTATTTTCAAGGAATTGTTGTGTTTGTAGATTTTATTGAAATATTATTGAAGGTTTCAAAAAGATTAGGCGAAATTTGATAAGAAGCTTTACTGGTTTTAAGGTGATTTCTTCTAAGATTGTGCAATTATTTGGTTGGAATTTGATTTTATTTTGCAGATTATTTTGATAATTTATTTTATTTGTTGATTTTTTTAAGCTTTTCAAATCTTTCTTTGTCTTTTAAATTTTAAATTGTTATTAAAATTTATTTAATTTTAAGTATTTTTCTCAAAAGTTTTAATTTTTAAAATTAAATTTCAAATTTTTCAACATTTTTAAACGAATTTTAAAGTTTCTGGAGTATTGCTATAAATTGCTTTGAAATTTCGTCACTTTTTAACTAGTTTCTCAAAAAATATTTCACCAACTTTTATTTAAATTCAGAAATTTCTGTCTAAATTAGCTTCTTTTACTTTAGCTCCTCAAAATAAACACTAATCTGAAGTTTAAAAACACAACTGACAAGATTTGACTCTAAGTTCTCGTCAACCTTTTATAAACTTTTACAAAAAAAATAAGAGAGAAAAAAAATGAGAAAATGAGAGAGAAAAAATTGTAAACAGAGTAAAATCAGAAGCTCCACAACGACCTTCAAAAACAGAAAAGTGAAAAAGAAAAAAATGAATTAAAAAAATTACGTCACAATTGAAACACTTGCTTGTTCGTGTGTGGTTCATAAAATGACTCAAGAATTTCATAAAAGTCAGCGGAATTACGATAAATTGACTTAAATTGGGTTTTACATTTTCTTATCAAATTCTCATTTGCTAATTATAGAAACAGTCAGAAGAAAACGAAGTTTAACATTTTATCGGGTGCATTTAATGAGAAATTTTTATACATTTTGCTTTGCTGACTTGGTTCTTTTCGATTTATTTTTGGAAATTCGTAACTTTGTAGTGCTTTAAAAATATCACTAAGAGTGAGGAAATCTCTTGATTCTCGAAGATCTGATCAACCTCTACTCTAGGAACTTACTAAAGTAATACTTTAATGTTTAGAACACAAAATTCATTTTTGAAAAAAAAAAGCTATATTTTGTGAGTTTAAACGATTCCTTTATAATCTATCAATCGGGACAGATTCATTGTCCTTAATATACGTATTAGTCAAAACTGATTCAACAACTTTGCACAAGTTCAAGCTAATTATTCTGATTGCCATGTTAATATAACCTTGAATATTTTGTTATCAAACATTAAACTACTTTTTTTTTAAATAATTTCTATTATTTTTATAAGATTGTAATTTAATCTCAGATTTAACTCGTGTTACTCACTTGAATCAGCTGTGTTTTTTATATTTTTTTGTGCACGTTGTAAGCTATAGATCCTTAATTGAGTGATTTGTGCTTTACTGATGTTTTTTTTATATTTTTTATTGTCAGTAAAATTGTGTAGATTTAATTAAGTTTTGATCTGGAAATTATAAATTGTGACGATTAATCGGAATGGTAATTGAACTTACTTTCACTTTCAAAACATTTTATTTTACTATTTGCAAACTATTTGCACTGGTTTAAAAAATAAATAAATATAAAATAATCAAAAAGCTTTGAAAATAAATTCTAAATTAAAACAGAAGTTTTCAAATTTAATTTTAAATTTCAATCAGTAGACATCGAAAAAAAATGTGATATGATAGGATTCTAAAAAAATAGTCACGTAATAAAATTCAACAAAAAATACGAAAACATGATAAAAATAAAAAAATTCTTGTAAACTTTAATCTCTACCAAAATTCGTCGCAATTTTTTCAAAATTTTCACATCAACTATTCGAATTTTACACATAAATCAAAAATTCACTTTAATTCTTTAAAATTTCTCAACTTTTAAATCCAAAAACTAAAATTTTCACCTCAAAAATCACAAAATTAAAACTTTTTTACGCTTGCAAAAATTTTCTTGTCTTTTTCCTCAAACTTCTTACGAGTGACTGACATAGATAAAAAAATCTCTCGCTCAAATTTAATTTTACTCTTTTATTTTAGTGTTCGTTGAACTTTTTGAGAACACTTTGCTGTTGTTGTAGTAAGCTTTCTCTCTCTATTGGTTCTCTCAGTTTGTATCAAGTAACATGTGATTTCGAAGCCGGTAAATATTATGTAGTTTTGTTGTTTGCATTGGTTTTTATAAGTGAACTTTAGTTTTGTAAGAATTGCTAATACATTTAAATTGCTAATTGAAGTTTTTCAAATTCTAAATTTTAAAGTTTTTCATATTCACACAAATTTTTAATTTTTGTGAATATATTATTTTATTTTTTTCATGAAAAATTCAATTTAGTTTAAGCCAAGGCGTCAAAACTCAGGATTGATCCTGAAAAATTCGCTGAGCCAACAAACAAGAAAATGTGAAATCCTTTTTAAATCTTTGATTCATTTGATGAACAATTTCAGAATTTAAAAAGGATTTCATTTTTTAATGTTTATTGGATCAGGGATTTTTCAAAGATTTTTGGGATTTTTCGTGATCAATTCTAAGTTTCCACACTTTGAATTTAACTTATTGATTTGTTAAATATCAAAAAAATGTTTGATTTTTTTTTTCATTTTAATTTTGAAAATTCAATATAACAACAAACCGCGCATTTGTAAAATTTTAATTAAGTTCATTAATGATAATACAATTCTTATCTTAAAACCAGTTATTCCTCCTGATAAGAGACAACAATTTGGTCAGTGATAAAAATTATCATTAATTGAGGTTCTTGAAATGTTTTCAGCAGTTTTTAATAAGACTTTTGCTAATAAAGACTTAAAGTGCATTATGAGGGAAATTTTGATGCGAATTTTATTATTAGTGGCGATTTTTGGAATACCTTTGGAAGCCAAAAGAGTTCCATTTGTGATAAATACTTGGAACTTTACTAATGCAACTATTAAAGCCTGGGATGTTGTTAATAGACAAGGAAAATCTGCTGTAAATGAAATCAATCAAAAATTTATAATAATTTTAATTTCTCAAACATTTTGCAGATTTCAGCAGTTGTAGAAGGTTGTACAGTCTGTGAAGTTGAACAATGTGATGGTTCTGTTGGCTATGGAGGATCACCAAACGAAGAAGGTGAAACAACACTCGATGCGATGATTATGGATGGAAAAACAATGAAAGTTGGAGCTGTTGGTGGACTTAGAAGTATTAAAGCAGCCATTTCAGTTGCTTGGCATATCTTTTACTATACAAAGCACACTTTACTAGTTGGTGACCAAGCAACAGAATTTGCTATCAAAATGGGATTCATTAAAGAAAGTTTATCAACTGAAAGTAGTGAAAATATTATAACAAATTGGATGAATAACAGCTGCCAACCAAATTACTGGATGAATGTTATGCCAACTCCTACTTCTGGCTGTGGCTCTTATGAAAAAATAGAATCAATTGAAGGACAACGAATACAAGTGCAAATGGTTCAAAATGATGACAATAATCATGACACAATTGGAATGATAGCAATTGATAAGAATGGAGATGTTGCTGCGGGTACTTCAACGAATGGACTGACTTATAAAATTCCTGGAAGAGTTGGTGATAGTACTATTCCAGTTGAGTATTGTTTTTGTTCATAAATGTACAATCCCGAATGGCACAAAACGGTTAATTGATCAGAAATCCGACACCAAGCAAGTGTGACTCTGGCATGATGCTGGATTTAAATCAAAGCTAGCACCATGCCAGAGTCATGCCGGCTTGACACCGGATTTCTATTCGATTAACCGACTTGTGCTATTCGGGAATGCACTGATGAAAAATTCTGGTAAAAACACTTCCAGTTTGCTTTAAAGTATAACGAGCAGCTTGCCTACTTGAAACGATAGTTTTTTGATGCCATAGCCAAATTTTATTCCCTTACTTATTACTAAATGAATAATTTTTAACTTTTTTTTCACATTCATGAAGGGCTCAGGAGCTTATGCTGACAACAGGTAGCTAACATTTATTAAAACTTATCATTTTTCTATACTTATTTCTATACTTATGTCTGTTTCACAATCACAGTGCTGGCGGAGCAGCAGCCACAGGAGACGGTGACGTAATGATGAGATTTTCCCCTTCCTTTTTGGCAATAGAATTCCTCCGTAATGGACTTACACCTCAACAAGCCGCCGACAGAGTAATCAATCGTATTGCTCAATATTATCCAAACAATGCAGCTGCAATTGTCGTTGCTGATATGGAAGGAAACTATGGAGCTGCATGTCAAATTTTCTCGTCATTTCCAATTTCAATTTACTATCCAGGACTAGATGAAGTAAAGGTTGAAGTTACGAAATGTAGACAAATAAATGAGGAAATATTAACAACACCGGGCACAGCAAGTCACATGACTGTTAATAAAATTCTATTTGTTTGCTTGATTTTCATAATTTTAAATAAAATTTAAATAATACAATATTAACAAGGAACAAACAAATTAAACAAGTTGTCGAATTTTAAATTTCCTTAGCTTTGACAAGCACATATGGAGTAGGGTAGGGGCTTAGTCAAGGGGAGAGTTCTGGTTCTTCCTCCAAAAAGTTTGAGGTTAAGTGCATGAAGTCGAGGAATATGAATTGGCTTGGTTAGTTCTTTCAAAAACCAAAAAGCTGACAAATATTTTAAAAAGTCGCTGTTGTGTAACATTAAGAGAATCGGAACTTTACCACCATCGACAGTCCTGAATTAATTTTAAATACAACCTATAAAATAATTCCGGTTTGTAAAATAGAATCTAATTTTGTATTATTAGAATATGACTCTTTAATTAGTATTTATTAATAATTAATATCAACTTTGTTAATTTTATTGAAAACTTTGTCAACTAGAATTAGTAGCTCTTAAAATTTTGAACTCTTTAGACGTGAAGTTTAATAATAATCATGAAATTCTCAAATGTGCCGATTCACAGATTTTATTTACATGATCCAAATTTCTATGCTAATCGTGAAATATTCATCACTGGTGGAACTAGATTTATAGGAAAAGCATTAATTGAGAAACTTCTAAGGTCATGTCCTGATATTAAAGCAATTTATCTTTTAATCAGACCAAAAAAAAGGACAGACTGTTGTTGACCGTTTGAAATCAACGTGCGATTCAATTGTTTTTGACATTTTGAAACGAAAAAATCAAAATTTTGCAAATAAATTGATTCCAATTGCTGGCAATGTTGCTGAACTGGATCTTGAGATTTCAAATCTATACAAGCAGCGTCTTAAGAATGTTTCGATTGTTTTTCATTCAGCAGCAAGCGTTAGATTTGATGATCCTATAAAAGATGCAATTTTCATGAACACACGAGGCACTCGGGAAGTTTTGAAGCTTTGTGAGACTTTAAATGACTTAAAAGCTGTCATTCATATTTCCACTTCTTACTGTAACTGCAACTTAACAACAATTGAGGAAAAAGTTTATCCAGCTATGGCTGATTGGAGAAAAGCAATTGAAATTTGTGAAAAAAATCGAAGACAATGACAATTTGAATATTTTAAGTCATCATCTTACAAATTTTATGCCAAATACTTATACATTTACAAAACAATTAGCTGAGAGTGTGGTTGAAGATTACAAAGAGAAATTGCCAATTGCTATTGTTAGACCTTCGATTATAATCAATGCAATTGATGAGCCAATGGGTGGATATGTGAGTAAATAGAATTTTTTTAATAATATTAAATTAATTCAATTTTTGAATTAATTTGAAGTTGGAATACAATTTAGTAAGGCTGAAGTCCAGTGTTTCTCAAACTTTTTTGGTGCACGGCACATTTCTTTGAAGTCATAAAACGTGAAAGAATACAACCAATTTTATCGATCAATTTTGTACGGCACACTAGTGCCGTGACACAAAGTTTGAGAAGCACTGCAATATAGTCCTTATCATTAGTGCATTATGCTCGCTCCCCAATGCTAATTTAATGAATTAAATCCATAATCATGAAAACAATAATTGTTTCAAAATGTTAGATTGACAATTTCAATGGACCAATCGGATTGTGCCTTGGAATAGCAACTGGAGTAATCAAAACTTTAAATTGTAATTCAAATCACATCATGGATCTGGTTTCTATTAACATTATTGTTAAAGCTAATATTATTGCTGCTTGGAGAAAAGCTCATGATGCATCTGGGTGAGTATAAATGGAAATCTTGTGGAAATCATATAAGTGACGTGAAAAAAAAAGTTTGAGAAAGGCTGTAAATCGACACTTCAGAGTTTTTAGACGTTTCAAAACCTTGACTGTCTAACCAAGTTGTAAACAGTTCGACTAAGCTTTTCTTATTTCCCGGTTTTGCCAAATTTCCGAGTCCGGAGCCAAATTAAAATTTGAAATCTTATGTGCCAATGATTTTATACAAGGATATACTAGCATCTGGATGACTTCCTTACGGCATCTTGCGCATATGGATTGTGACAAGGTACATTGCAGAGGACATCAGGTCTTATGACGAACTCGTGTCTTTGCAATGTGCAGAGCTTGCAAGTTGTTCGGATCCCACTATAAACTTTTGGTCTAAAGGGTATGGCTCAATAGATTCTTTACAAATTGAATCGCAGTGCCTCCAGCTGAAAAGGTTGAGCCCTTCACACATTGTTATTATGTACCAATGAAAGCCTGGACTGGGAAATTGGAAAAACCTAAGTTAGACATCGCAGATCATCTGGATTACCCAAAGCTTTTGCATCAAAACAAAACTTTTCTCTTGAGAAGATGTGTGACTTATTAAAAACTGGAAGCTATGAAGAATTTCCAATGGGTCGAAAAATGCTCTTCTTGCCAAGCTTTGACTTTAGTTTGTGGAAATCAAAAATCTTAATTGAATGTTTCCTGCTGCAGCTTTTGCATGCAATGTTTTTGGACTTTATTTTATCATTGATTGGAAAAAAGTTGAGGTGAGTTAAGGATATTAAGTTATTGTTGGCTAAGGTCGAATTTTTAATAAACCTTCCTCAACACCGTAAAGAGGTAATCAGTCTAAAAGGGATATAAACCGATAGACTTCATTTAATAATGTGACATTTTATTCTATTCAACTTTTAGAATGATGAAAATTCAGCGTAAAGCATTTGAAGCTTCAAAAGCAATAAAATATTTTACAACACACAATTGGACTTTTAAGGATGAAAACTTTGACAGTTTCAGTGCAATATTAAAAGAAGATGATGTCAGAGCTTTTGACATTCGTAAATATGAAACATATTCACCAATTTTGATATCAAGGACTTTGACGTATGGCATCAGGAAGTATTTATTGAAGTTGAAAGATGAGGATCTAGAAAAGGATAGAAAAAATTTTAAAATTATGAAAATAATAAGTTTTATAATCAAAATTTTGATTTTTATTGGAATTATTTATTTTATTTTGTGTACATTTAAGGAACATTTTGTAAGTTTTCTAAATCATCTTTGAAATTAACATTTTTTGTGAATAATATTTTTTATAAATGAAAATAAATGATTTTCTTATAATTTAAATTTTTAACAATTTATTTTTCTACTATAATAATACTTCCGCTTTAATCTCAATTACTGAAAAAAAAAATTAATTCGCACACAGCAAAAATTGACAACAATACGCGATTATTGAGGAAATATTGATAAGATTAGGAAGTTCAGTCACCAAACTTAATACAACAAAGTCAATTTGTCAGTCTTGAATTAGATTTCAAAGCAAAATAAAATGTACAAATTTTTTACAATTTTTTGTTTATTTTTTCAAATTTGGACATTAAATTCTATAACGTGTCCACCATACAACCCTAATGTTGTAGTTTTGTTTCCACATGAATATAAGTGTACTTGGTACTATCGATGTGAACAAAGTGGTCCTATTTTAATGGAATGCTGGCCTCCAGGAACACATTTTAGTCCAAATTCAAATAGGTGTGAATGGGAATCAGTCGCAAATTGTACACTGCCTGGAGTTCCACCTACATCAACAGTCCGGCCAACGACAACTTCTAGAACAATTGCTCTGACAACGACAGTTCCAACAACAACAACAATTACGACAACGACAGTTCCAACAACAACAACAATTACGACAACGACAGTTCCAACCACAACAACAACTCCAACAACGACAGTCACAACAACTAAAACTACAACAACAACAACTCCAATAGTCCGAACTACTACAACAACAGTTCCTACAACAACTCTACAGCCAACAACTACCACAACAACAACAATGTCAAGGTCAACGACTTCATCATTTATCGTTCCAACAGTCCCGGTAGCTACAACAACTCCAAGATTACCCACGACAACAACTAAATTAACAACTTCAACAACACAGCCACCTCCGCTATGCCCAGAAGTTGATGACCCTAATGTTTTGATATTTTTACCGAATCCCCAGGATTGTAGATCATACTTTTTATGTTTTAATGGAATGAAACTTCCGAGGAGTTGTGCTAATGGATTTTATTGGGATGTTGACAACCTCTGGTGTAATGTGAGAGAGGAAGTAAACTGTGGATCAAGAAATAATTAAAAATAATAAGAATTTAAACTTCGGAATTAATAATATTGATGTTATTTAAAAATAAAAAGGTAAAAATTATTTCTTTTTAAAAATCTTCCATCCTTTTCTTTTTTACAACAAGCAGTTATCATATTCTACATTTCATGATGCCTTTTCAAACAACTTTTCAACACATGGTGAGTTTTTGGTATACTGCATTGTTTTGTTCAAGTTGTGCGTCAATACTTTTGCTTTACGACAGCCAATCGGGTGTGATTTTAATTCTGTTGATTGATTTTCTTGTGTATAGTTCGCAGTGAAAGGATATACATTTATGAATGATCAGATGGATATTTAATTTAAAAGTTGAAATTTATCGATTAATTGAATTTAGTATATTTTTTTTCATATTTTTTAAAATTGTCTATTTCGAAAAAATTCCAATTTATTTTATAAGCAATCAAAACTCGCGCTAAAATATTTCATTTTTCAGTTAAAACTTCACCTAAGCTCAATGAACCATAAAAAAATTCAAATTTACTTCCTTGTCTGATCATTTTCAACCCTCGTCCATTCGGCACAAAAAAATGTCTACCTTAAAAGGCCATTTCAATTAAAATTCAACAAAATCTTACAAACTTGCATCTTGTTGTTGCCTTTTATTCTCTTTTTTTTTGTAACGTCCAAAAAAAAATAGTTTCAAGACATGGGACAAAATAATATAAATTATAGACAATCAACTTGCATGAAAACATAAAAATAGCAAACCTTCTACGTTTGATTGGACAGAAGGGAGACAGGATCATAAAAACAGCATAAGGACAATAATCATCGGTCATCATCGACTCCTTGAGTTTCTGTTAATTCCTCAAGAAAAAAATATAGAAACTGAAAGGAAAAAAGAATTAAAAATTAGGAATGAAAGTGAAAAGGATAGTTGCCGTGAGGATATTAAGTAAAAGAGTAGTTGGATTTGTAGCGCATTAAAAAATATTACATTAAAGTTCATATAAAATAAACCAAATTAAATTTGGAGGTTCAGGTACTTTTACATAAGAGTCTTGTGATTCATGTGCCCCCACGCTTGAGCGTTGAGGTTCAGGCTTTCCATTTCAGTTTTAAGATTCAAGTGCCTCGACACTTCAATTTCCAGATTCAGGTTCCTTAACACTAAAGTTCTGTGGTCCAGGTACCTTCACACTAAAGTTATGTGGTTCAGGTGCCTTTATACTAAAGTTCTGTAGATCAGGTGCCTTCACACTATAAAATTTTTTTGAACTAAGGTTTCTTCACAATTTATGTCTGTCAGATGTCTTTACACAAATGTCTTAAGATTCAAGTTTCTTAACAATACAATTTTATGATTCAGGTGCCTTTACACTAAAGTTCTGTGGTTCAGGTGCCTTTACATTCAAATTCTGTAGATCTGGTGCCTTTACACTAAATGTATATAACTTACGTGTCTTCGCAATTTATATCTATGGTTCAGCAGCATTTACACTTGATTTTTGAGATTAATATGCTTCCACGCTAGCAGACTATAGTTCCACAGTCAAGCAGACAAAATAACCTTAATTTCTCTAGTTCCTTAAAAGATGCAATGAAAAGAAACTGTTAAAAGAAGAATAAAATTAGAAATCGATAATATTGCATCTGCATAAGATTTTTACGTAAAACTTCGATATATTATTAGGGATTGAAATAAGAAATTACAAAGGACTGAATTTTTTAAGTCCGAAAGGGTCCTGTCTATTGTTGCAGTTTCTTTTACAATATTTATTGTCTACCGATCTTCATGGACGATTTTTTTTCTTCACGCTGACCAAATTTTCTTATATTTTTATGTATGAGCATTAAAATCCATAATCTTGTGCCTGAAATGGATTTTTTACCATCTTAAAATTACAGTCTTGCGTCAATTTGGTAGATTTAACAGCTGGAAGACTTTAAATTTCTTTTGAACCCCTTGCATAATAAAAATGATTTTTTTTTTATCCTAAAAATGTGTTTTTTAAGGAAAAAAATTCATCTTGACTTCCTGAATCTTTATTTAGCCTGAAACTTAGGGATTGTTTTTCCTTAAAAAAAATCGAGAGTTTGAATTTTTTGATCGCTCGCGTGCCTTGGCGCGTATCACAGAAGAAATATTGGAAATAAGTCCCTTGAACAATAAAAAAAATCTATTTTGATTCCCTTTTTTATTACTTTTTAAATAGAATTTAAAAACGATATTTTTGATTTTTTCTCTTTTTAAGTGATTTGTATAGAATTAAGAGTAAATTTGAAGGGATTTTTATTTTAACTTTTGAGGAATTAGGTGCGAAGGGAAAAATTTGTTTAAAGTGACGATCATGTGCTTAAAATTATCTTGTTGAAGACTGTTTTAGTGATCATTTGGAAGTGATAATTGATGAGATTTAATTTATAAAATATTGGGGTCTTAAAAGTCTTTAAAAATTGTTTTTTTTTTGCTGGTCAACAGTGATTTTATCTTTACAATATAGCAGCTAATGTTAAGGCGCATTCACACTAGAACAGCTTAAAAGCTACTTGGCGCAAAACGTGACAAGGCTAGCAACAGAGTCAGATGGAGAACCTTTTGCTGTAACCTAAGCTGCACACAGGAACATGGTTACAGTAAGCGACACTAGAATAGCTAGTCAAGGTGTCTTCACACTAGATCCATGTTAATTGTGATTTTCTAAGTAAAGCGTCTTCAACAGTAGTAGCATCTTTAAGCTACTGATCAACATCCAATAAATCTTAATCCTTAAACCACAAATTGAGCAAACATTTTTGCAGACTACTTCATGTACATCCAAAAAATATAAATATTTCATTTAAAAAAAAATGGAATGAGTAGCAAATCAAAACATCTAAAAGGAGCAAGAAAATGATGAACAATTGATTGAAGAAATCCCAAAAGTAAATAAATGAAATACACATGGATGAATTGAGGCACCCAGTGGCATTATGCGACAAATCAAATTCATTAGAAATTGTTAGGAACTCTTTATTACACTAAGAACTAGAAATAAGGAAATTCGTTTTGACATGAACAAGATGATGCGAATGACAATAAGAAAACTAGAAAAAATTGATCACTCTTTCGTCCCTTTTTGCTATTATTCAACTACAATCCATGATCTTGCATCTTTTGTGTCGAAATTCTACGCTGTTCATAATTCATGATCATCCTTTTCTTTTATTGCATCTTATGTCCTTTTATTTTTCTATCCTTAAGGCTACAAAAAAAAGAGATGAAAAATAATTTTGTGTTGCAATATTTTGCAACAATCACAAAAGGATTTGAAATATTTCATTTCTTGATGTCACTTGAGGTATGAATTGGATGCTGTAGGTAAAGTAATTTTTAAAGAGTACGAATCATGCGATCATGAATGATATAATGGTATAGCTATGACAAAAAATGGAAAAAATTGAAGATTTGTAAAAGTTATAAATGATTTGAAAAAAAAAAATAAACTTAAACATTCAGACCTTCAGATCCATAGCTGCGCGTTGCGTTACAAGGCTAATGATAGTTTAACGAGAGAGGGTTCGCGAGACCTCCCGCTCAATAAATGATTTGAGCAATGCCAAAACGCTGATATAGATTAAAAAATTACAAACGATTTTTTTCTCAATTTTAAAACAAAATAATCAACAAGTATGTGAATATGAGATTCACACATGCAAGTTATTAAAGTTTACACCTAAAGTTTACTTTTCCTTTTAAAATTTTACAAACACAAATACTTGACTAATGCTTAAAAAATTGAGAAAAAAAAGGTTTTTGTTCACGATTTGAATTAAAATCTATTAATGAAGGTTATGCTTTCCCGACAGTAAATTCCAGGCTTTAAAGTAGTGTTTCCAAACTGGAGTACCGTAGGACATCTTAGGTGTGCCGTGGAAAAATATTAAAAATCCTTTTTTACAACTTAATTATAGATTTAAAATAATTCATTGTTGATGATCAATGCGTTGACATCCAAAATTATTTGATTATTTTTGTCCTCAACGGACGATTGCGTATTTGCAACTCTGCACAATTGCATTGACCCAGGGTAAAGCAATGCAAAGTACCTATCCACAGTATGCACGTCTCAAATCATACAAACCGAGTTGCCATGACTAGAATAGCGAAAAAAGCACCCAAAACCCGACTAGATAGTATCTGGGATCGAACATTAGGGTTGGTTGGTCAACATTTTAACCACTATGCCACTGCTGCTAATTCTTAAAATTGGAAGTTTTTCAGAAATTTGTAGATTTAACACTAGATAAATTGGGAAATTAGGAACTCAAGATATCGGTCTCGATAATCCATCAGCACATTTTCAAAAGCATATTTAGAATTAATTATCGATATTTGCCTAATTAATGCAAAATAATCAAGGCGTGGAAACTATCCCAAATATCTCATTTATCCCATGTATCCCAAAAATATTCAAAATAATCCCTGAGCCTCGATGCATTAGAATTGAGATATCCCATCATATCCTGAAATTACACGTCCAAAACACTAAGGATACGTTGGGATATCTTTATTATCGTGCATACATGCATAGGAATTTTTTGAATATTTTTGGGATATGTGGGATAAATATGATATTTGGGATAGTTTCCTCGCCTTGATCAGTTCTCATTGAATTTGATAAATTTGATAAATCTTGAGCATCAATTGTAATCCTATAGTTACTCCCGCTGAAAAAGTGAAGTACGCGGGAAAGATACCCAAAACCTTGTAAGGGTTATATCCAGTTATAGGAAGTAGGACGAAAATATTTAAATGCGGGACGTAAATGGGCGTAATATGGACGTAATCCAGGCCAAGTTTCATCACTCCCTGACAACTTGCTCCCGCGTACTTCACAGACACTAATTGGGATAGTTTCCACGCCTTGAAAATAATGGTTACTCATGAACAATCAATGATACCAACCCTGAAGAGAATATTCTTTGCTTTCTATTAATTCCCTCTCCATCAATTTACTCATCACGAAAGATCAGTAATCTTTTCTCGTTCATATTGGTGTGATTTAAATTAATTGTGAAATTAATTTAAGCTTAGTTATTATTTCAAAAAAAAAAAAATGATTTTTGTAAGTGCATAAAAAGTGCAAAAAAACCACTCAATTTATTGCAATTCAAAATAAGTTTTTAAGACTTAAAGTTTAAAATAAGTTTCAAAAAAAAGTTATCATTTTTGTTTTATATGAGTGACGTTTTTATTTAAAAAAATTGTCTGTATTGAATTAATAATGACATCAAAATTAGCTTGCTTGTATTTAATTATATTCCTGATGCTTACTGAACGTTCTGCTTGCTATAAGTGCGAGTTTTATGGATATTTTTCAAATGACTACACCTGCAAAGTATATCCAGATACAAGTGATATTAATGATCAACATGAGCAAGGAAAAAGTAACAAAGATGTTGCACGCATTAAGTATATTGGATCGTTAAATAAAGTATCGGAATTAACTCAATCCAATTTTCAATTCTGCATACACTTTGAAAATTTAATCAAAATTTATATTGATCATATTGATCATATTGAACGCATCGATGAAAATGTCTTTTCAAGTTGTAGAAATTTGAAAATTTTGACGATTGAAATGACTTCAGTGAGTGAAATTAATGGAAATTTATTTTCTGAAAATACAAAATTGACAGCATTAAACTTAAATAGCAACAAGTTATCAAATCTACCAGAAATTATGTTGAGGAATCAAAAAGTCTTGGAAAATTTGAATTTATCAGCAAACAAAATAAGTTTTTTAAGCTTGAACCTTTTTAAATCACTTGAAAAACTCCGTGTTTTAAATCTGGCAAAAAATAAAATTTCTGATTTGCCAAAAGATATCTTCAAGTATTTAAAAAACTTGGAAAGACTAGACATATGGCGAAATGAGCTCACAACTGTCCATTCAGATTCATTCGGGAGTCATGGAAAATTGAAATACATTAATTTTCAATGGAACAAAATTAACTCGATTGATAAAGTTCTGATTGATAGCACACCAATAACTACTCTTAATATGATTGGCAATAACTGCAGTGAAACAGAAATGACGTCAAGGGCGATGATACAAATGAGCTTAGAAACGTGCTTCCAAAATTATGAGCCACGCGAAGAAACAGGTGAGTTTTGATAAATTAATAATTAACTACAAAAATTACTTTAACTCTTTTAGATACAATAAGACTCAATAATATCCATGATAACGTTACTAACACTGGAAGTGATGCTGGAAAATCATTTCAAACGGTAAATATTGATTGGGCAAAAATTAACTTTAACGTCAAGTAAAATTTATTAATTTTTATGTTTAAGGAAGCTTTGCACACATGCGGTCAACGCGTAATGGGATTAGGAACTGTAATTGGAGGAAATCAAATCAAAAGAGGATCTTATCCTTGGTAATATAAAATTGATTCTTTTGTTGCAAAACTGAACTATGAATTTCATTAGGACTTCTGCTTTATTGCGGGCAAATGGAGACTTTTTCTGTGGAGCAACCTTGATATCAGATACAAAAGTAGTAACAGGTTAGATAAATAAGATTTAGACAACTAAATAGTACCATAGCTCGAAGGAGTTGACTCAAGTCGACTCGGGTTTTTTCAAGTCAACTCGAGTTAATTCGAGTCTACTTCATTTTGTTGGAGTCAACTCCAAAAAAAAAAAAAAATATCGAGTTGACTCCAAGTCGACTCAACTCGAGTTGACTCGAACCCTTTCGATTTCGAGCTCTGTCTAGTACTTTGAATTTTTAAATTACAGCTGCACATTGCATTGAAGAAAAGTTTAGTGAAACTGTGCTTCGACCACGCGATCTTATTGTTGCTCTTGGAGCTCACAACTTGAGAAGCTCTTTTGAAGTAGGCAGGCTATATATTGCGGTTAAAAAAATTACAATCCATCCCGATTGGCATCCAAAAATTCAATCATATGATGCAGATATTGCAGTTCTTGAACTGTCCAAAAAAGTCACTTTTGATGAATTTATTCAACCAATTTGTCTCTCTGATACTCAATCAGCATCTTCATCTATTTCTTTGGGTTTAGTTGTTGGTTTTGGAAAAAGTGAATTCGCAGAAATTGAAAACATAGCAAGATCAGTTAATATTCCAATTCTTAGCTACAGAGAATGCGCTGAACAAAGCACAAACCATCAATCTCTTCTCAGTCATCGAGCATTTTGTGGTGGATATGCTAATGGAACTGGAGTTTGTGTCGGAGATAGTGGAAGTGGACTAATTGTGAATCACAATGGAGTTTATTATCTTCGCGGAATTGTTTCATCATCTCTTTATGGCGACGCTCATGGATGTAATGTTCATGCTTATTCCGTGTTTACTGATGCTGCTAAATTTCATAACTGGATACAAGATTCTGATGCACAAGATAAGATAGACGAAAAGAAGAAGCTTGAAGATGAAATAAACAAACTGAGAGAAACAATTGCACTTTTGAGAGAAAAGTCATTAAATTAATTTTTAAATGATTTCTTGCTTTTAAACCAGCCATTCTACATAAATTAAAAAAATTAGCTAGCTACTCAGTGATGTTTCAGATAACGAAAAGTTTAAATGCAAATTTAAACAATAATTGTTAAAATAAAATCAACTTTTACTTTAAAAGAACAATATTAATGTTAATGGCTTAAAAATAAAGCAACAAACATATCCAAAAAGTATAAATTTAATAAAAATAAAAAAGGATCTCAAGAAATTACTTTGCAGGTTGCATCAACACTCGAAGGAACCGAAAAGAACAAAAGGTTGATATAAAACGGATGTTATGGTAAGATCATGATAAATAGCACGTGATACCTGTTGTGAAGGATCTTCAGGTTGATTTTATTGCCTTGTTAAATTCAATGTTTAGCGTCACTTCCGCGTTTGTGTGAATCAAAGAAATTAAGATGGGATTTTTTATAAATTGATGGTTAATAATCAAAAGTTTAAGAAGGAAACTTCAAATTTAAAATGATACATTTTGGAAGCACTGAAATTCAATTTAGGGTTTAAAATTTAATTTTTTTCAAATAGTTTTAATTGTTGCAGATCTATTTAATTTATAGTCTTTGTAAGAAATTTTGTGCAGGTTGCAATCACACCTTATGTCGCTCGTATCCACCTCCGATCACCACGCATGATGCAATTTTATTTCTTCTTTATTTTTTTTTTCTCAATTTTATCTCCTTGAGAGCCCTTTTCTGCTAATTCTACCTGCCAACATAATCATTTGCTCACTTTAACAAAAAAAAAATATATCAAAATTTATTGATCATTTCCTAGAAATTTCTTTTTCTGGTCCGAGAAACAGCTTTTGCAATTGAGTATCCTTTTCAATTCTTTTTTTTATACTTTTTTCTAGTCTATTGATCAGAAACTAATCATGATAAACCTTTGATGTTGTTGGAACTATCATTAATTTTATATCCTTTTTTCGTACCTTTGGTTATTTTTTGAAGATATCATATGGCTTGAATGTTGAGATGATGGGATGTCCATAGATATTCAATGTGGGATGTCTGCAGTAAAATGTGGAATTTTTAATAGAATTTGAAACTGACCTAGTTGTGACCTAGTTGTGACCTAGTTTGTAGAAAAAAGGTTAAAATTCGTAAACATATAAAATTTCTCCTTTTCCTCGTAAAATAACTTATTATCTTAGATTATCATACCTTTCTTAGGGCTTCTTCGGTGCCGGGACCAAGACTATGACTTTTTGAGAATTTCCAGTCTTCGGGCTGGGATTTAAGTGCGAAGTTCACACTAGTAATTAATCTCGGTGTAAACTGGCTTTTAATCAAATTACAATTTTCAAGCTTTACGAGCTCAAAAACCTTATCAGCAAGTGAATTTTGACATTAAACTCAATGATTTCAAAACTTACATTTGTCAGTTTTGTGTTGTCTATAGGCAAGAAAAGAGTTGTTTGTTGAGCATAAAATTATTCAACAAAATGTCGTTGAAATTTATTTTGCTAATCCTTTCGTTTCCATTTATTGTATCAAGTCAGGATGCTGTTGGATCTGGAACTTGTAACTATATCGAATCTAAAACTAGACGATTCACTGGATATCTATGCAAGTTAAGTGCTAATGAATCAGAAGTTCTTACTGAGATTGATGGAGGTCATTTAGAAGGAAAAACGGATGATGATTTAACTTATGTATCAGGATCTAACTTAACATTCATGACTCTAACTTCAATTTTCTGTGAAAAGTTTAAAAATACTGAAAGAATGAGCATTTTTAAATCAAAAGTAAACAAAATTGATGAAAACGCGTTGGAGAAATGTAAAAACTTGGAACTTTTTGATTTTTGTGACACCAAAGTTAGCGTGGTTCCTGAAAAATTATTTCTTCTCAACTCAAAATTAAAAGTAATTAAACTGAACAGAAATCGCATAACAACTCTACCCGAAAATGTGTTTTCAAATCTCAAAGAACTTCTTAATATTTTTATATATAGCAACGAGATAAGCTATTTACCGCCAAATATATTCAAATCAAATACAAAACTTAGATTATTATTTTTGGACAACAATAAACTTACAGCCATTAATTCTAATTGGTTTGTTAATATGCCAGATTTAGATCGTCTGAACTTAGCAGACAATCAAATTCTAGATTTGCCACAAAATGCATTTATTAATCTTAAAATATTACCTTTCATTTGGCTTGCTAATAACAACTTGACAGTCATTCACTCAGATTCCTTTGGTGTTAATGATAAATTAGAGCATCTTTATCTTAGAAACAATAAAATAATTGCAATTGATGAGAAATTTGTCAATAATACAGCAATTCAAAAGATTGATATGAGTGGGAATGTCTGCAGCCAGGAAGATATAAACAACAGATTTCAAATTAAAGAAGCTTTCCAAAAGTGTTTTGACAACTATCGACCACGAAAGGAACAAAATTAAAATTAATTGTTCAAAATTATGTTGTTAATAAATGAAATAAACATCAAATTTTTTAAAAGTTGATAATTTCTGAAGAAAAATGACGTCACTCTAATGTTTTAGGTCACAAATGCTATTTATTTGCTTATCTGCTGTGTGATTAAAATTGAGCAATTCACAATCATTTTGAAAATCCAGACAGTTAAACCTTGAATGTTGAATAGTAAAGAAGTGCAAAATGAAATTGAAAGTTTTAGCAATAATTGCAATCTGCATGTTTTCTGGATCATTTAGTGAAGTTCTCGATGGTCATGCAGCATGCAAATATAATTATTTAAAAAGCGTAAAAGGTTATTTGTGCAAATTAATATCAAATAATGCTGAATCAGTCAGTGAAATTGAGGGTGAACATTTACCTGGCAAGACAGACAATGAAGTTGAGTTTCTCATCACGTATCACTTATCGTTCACAAAATTGACACCAATAATCTGTGAAAAATTCAATAATCTTAGAAAATTAAAGATTATGAGCTCAGATGTCACTTCAGTGGATCCAAATGCACTGAAAAATTGCAAAAATCTTAACGAATTTCATCTAATTAGCAGTAAAATTTCAGAATTACCATCAGGCTTATTTTCAGAAAATCCAGATTTGGTTAGAATTCAGTTTGACAACAATCAATTAACAACCTTGCCTGATAATTTATTTGAGAACCTTAATAAAGTTAAGATATTGTGGCTTTATAAAAATAAACTTAGCTTTTTACCCATAAACATTTTTAAACCTTTAAACAGTTTAGAAAAACTGCAGCTTAGCCACAACAAGCTCAAAGTCATAAATCCAGCATGGTTTGAATATTTAGATAATTTACAAGAGCTCAGCATGAGATACAATGAAATTAGTGATTTGCCAAAGAATGCTTTTGTCAATTTGTTTAATCTACAATCAGTTTGGTTCAGTGGAAATGAACTGACTATCATACATTCTGACTCATTTGGAACCATGAAGAATTTTACTGAGTTGTATTTGAGAGAAAACCGAATAAATTCATTTGACGGTCAAATCATCAAATCTAATAATTTAAATGTCCTTGATATGTTTGGAAATGTCTGTAGTCAAATTTTGGCTGATGAGATGAGCAAGGATGAAATGATGGAAGTTTTCTATAATTGTATAGATAAATATCAACCTCGTTAGAATGTTAATGGTGAAATTGAGTACTGTGAATTAAAATTTTATGTGCTTTTAATTTTTATTGTTGAAAATAAAATGTTGAAAAAATTCTTTAATTTTAAAATAAAGTAAATAAATTTTTACTAATTTAGACTCGCTTACAACAAAAATTCTATTTAAATTTCTTTAATTTTTATTAAAGATTCAAACTTCATTTATGGTAATTTTCTTATCCCTTTTTGACGACCTTCCCGACCTCCTTCATCATCAATCGACCCCATGTTGTGATCCAAATTCGATTTCATTTTATATTCTTTATTTTGATATTTTTGGGTTAAAAAAAATTTTCTCAATTTCCTGTATTTTCCTTTTCATTACAATCCTAAACTTTTTTGCGCACTCAGAAAAAGAAAGCAGGAAGTTCGACCTTTTATGGAATAATAATAAAATATGTGTGATGATTTACTTTCTTTTTGAATTTATGAATTTGACATGAATACATTTCCAATATTTTGAGGGTTGTTGTGATGTTTCTTTGATAACAAATTCACATTCGAACGGAACTCTTTCAGTACGATTGGTTGACGATGTTCACGCACTTGTAATGTTGAACTATAATACTGTAATAGGAATGTATTATCTTTATTTTATAAAATTGGCAAAAAATACAAAATAAACATTATTTGAAAATTTAACTTACAACCCTATTTTAAACCATCTAAACCTAATTTTTAAACCCCTCTCTCTGTAACAGATGTCAATACCCTCCCCTCTCCCTTATAACGTCCAATCCAACAAAAACAAAAAATTCCTGATAAAAAAATGGATGTCACAAATTTCCTGACCCCTTTTCCTCCCCTGTCACAAATTTTTTGACCCCTCACCCCCTAAATATTGGACGTCATAATTAAACGACTCCTGAATAAGAATTGTTCAGTTCGATTTTTACAAAAACATATGCGCTTTAATCAACATTTACGTTTTTTTCTAGCTCAGTTTTTAGGTTATTTTTACATATGTAGCGGAATTTATATTGTCTAAACAAAGCAATAAAACAAAAGGATATCTACGTACCATGCAGTGTCGATTGTGAATTTTTGATGAGAATTATGATTTGGTTGAGTTTATTTTTCTTTTCAAGTGAAATGATAAGGAACACACGTTTGTATAGGCTTTTTATGGACTAATAGATTCAAATATTTAAGGTTAGGGTTCTTATGACGTTTGAAATCAACGGTCATTTTTCAAAAAAGAACAATGGATTTCCAGGAATTTCTATTGTTCTTTTCTTGCTGAACCCCCTTTTCCCCATCTCACGCCTGGACGTCATAAGTGAATGGCCCCTATGTATAGGTATATTTTTGCCTGATTAAAGATCATGCTCATGAGCTGGTTTTTATTTCAGGAAGCATACTTACTCACTTCCTTGGCTGAAGTGCACGTGAGCCCATTTCCTCGCTTAGAGAACGTCTAAAGACAGCTCAATCCTTCAACATATTCAGGACTCTAGCTTCCTTTTCAACACAACCAATCTAAAAGTTCTTCGGTCTTTCTCTTGCTCTCTTTCCATCCACATAAGTCTGCTTGTGTCACTTTCAGTACGAGGGCATCCTGTGACCGTCTAAACACATGATTTGCCCGTCTCAAGCGATTTGCACGAAGAATGCACTGATTTGAGTTTTGTTCTTCAAGTATTCCCATGCATAACAAAAACAACAAAAAATTGACAACTGATCCATACTTAAAAAATAGGAACAAGAAACAACACATAAAGCAGTTAAACAAGACATAAATATGTCATTCAAATCCAAAGTCATTAAAATATTTTATCTCGAATCCTTTACAGCTGGTTAAAAACTTCCTGAATATTATTTTATCTCTTTTACATTTTTTAAGACTCTTCAATATTCTTAAGGGAGAAATTTTTAATGGTTTTTGAGGTTCCTTTTTGCTTTCGTTTGTTTTTGTTTTCCAAACACTTGAATTTGTCATAATTTTTTTTGGCATGAAATGCGACAAGTTGATGTTGGATGTGATTTTACTTGTTTGGGGTGACAAAATAAATATTTTTGTAGGTCTTTAAGTGGATTGTTGCAGAATTATTGCGAAATGGATTGAAGTTTTACTTTTTGAGATATGTGGGAAGATTTTTTTGAGGTTATGTTTGAGAATGTTTGAGGTTATGTTTGAGAATTTTTGAGGTTATGTTTGAGAATTTTTGTTTTTGAAATTCTTGGAAATTTTGATTTCTAATTATTTACAATATTTAAGATTTTTGTCATCAAATTTAAGTTTTACTATTAACTGATTTGTTTTCAATGCAAATTTAGAGTCTCTAGTCACCCAAAAGTCATCGTCATGGAATTCTTCCTCTAAATTCCTATTAAACGTTATTTAACACATGTAAATATGCAATATTTTGAAAATGATCTTTACTAACTTCCTCAAAAACACCAGCAACACTTCCATTCTCATTCTTTTTTTAACACAAATTTTTTTATCTCTTTCCAATTTTTTTTATGTTCACAATGTTTTCCTCTTTCTTAATTTCCATTTCGGAAATTACCCCAAAAAAATCTGTGAGTGTCCTTCCGACAAGTTCACATGAAATTTGATGACACGAAAAACATGAAATAAAATTGAGTTAAACTGGTCGTCGTTAACCAACATTTCCTGTTCTTTAATATTTCATTTTTTCTTCTTCTTCGCCGTTGATTAGATGTCGACTAATGCAATTGAAGGTTTTTTTAGAAAAAGAATATTAAGATGGGAAAAAAAAAGTTGAGAAAATTGAGGTTGAGAGTTGTTTTAGGTCTTAAAAGAATTAGAGCGCATTTTTGATTGATGTTTTTGTAATTTTTGGTAGTACTAAAGCAAGTGGTGTAACGAGGAGGAGGGGATAGTATGATTGTAAGGATTTCATACTACCTCGAATGCCCACCACCAGTCCTCCTCTCCCTCTTTTAAATTTTTCATACAAAAATTTCAAATTCCACCTTCTTAAAAAATTCTTGTCTATGCTGCTGGCTAGAGCAAACTTACTTACTTACTTCGCTCGTCGTACAGATCAGTTGTGATCCATGACCTCCCTTAGCCGTCCCCTAAAACTTGTTCTAATGGCCCCTAAACCAGTTCTTTGGCCTTCCAAGTGATCTCTTTCTATCTACAAAATCGGATTTGAAGACCTTATTTAAGCTAGAGCAAAGATCTTCATAAATTCAACTTTTGCATTTTGACTCCGATGAAGATATGCTTAGGTTTGCTATTTTGAATCACTTTTAAATTTTATCCTGCAATTTCCAATTCAAAATGACAAAATCAAGGGTGTGGTACTGATGACATGATCAAAAAATTATCAGATTGTAATTCATCAGTTCCACACCACTAGACAAAATGAACAACTTTTGCCCAAGATCATAAATACCAGTTTCCAAATGAAATCAACTGAATCCATGAAAACAATATTTTTTTTCCCTAATAAACCAACAACGACAAAGACATCAAGAAGCCATAGCACTTAAATTCATCTTAATCAGCTTCTTTCAACCAAATTGTGTGTGATTCTTTTAATTGAATAAACGGCGACAACTAAAGAAAAGTTAAAATGTTGAGCACATTAGCTTAAATTTATGGTGGCGAGTTGTGTTAATCAATTGAAGTGACTGCAACCAAGTTTTTTAAAAAATAGGGTGACATTTTTATTCTAGATATTGCAGTGGTAAAGGGAGGGTGGGTGGGGGGGAACCTAGCATATGAATTGCTTTCATTCTCTCAAAACTTAAAATGCTCTTGACACAAATTTAAATAAATATTTTAAAATTAAAAAAAACCAAAAAAATATTGAAATATTGAACCTTATTTTACATTTATTATCAATGATTGATCGCAATCAAAAACAGTCATGACGCAAAAAACCACAAAATAAACAGTAGTTTTGTAAACTTAGCAACAAAGTGCAAGCTAATGATGCATCACTTAAAACAAAGTAGATTATGAGATGTGGGATTTCCCCAACAAAGTATTATTTATTAAATCATTGAATTACCGAGAGCGTAAAATGCTTCACAGTATGTTATCAAAGCAAAAACTCATATTTTTAGAATCTATTAAGCTCTGAGCTCTCAAATAAGATTAAAATTCTCAGCAAAAATTATTTAAAATAGCTTCAATCTCGTCTCATTACGTTCTTATCTTTAGAATGTGGAAGTTTATTTTATTATTAGCGCTGTTTGCATCAGCATATTGTGCACAAAATAATGGAAAACTCAAATCAGAAAATCCTAAATTATTAACCAAGTTTGCTGGTGAAATTTATCAGGTTTGTGGATCTGTGTTTATATTACATAGCTTAAAACGCCTCATTAACAGCTTCTTAAAATAGATAATATAATATTTAAATTATATTCATAAGAAATCAGTTGAAGGAAGATCCGGAAATGTCATCATATCGCCAGCATCAGTCCGTTCTGTTCTTACAATGGCATTATTTGGAGCTGCAAGAAAGACGAGGACTGAGATGATAAGAGGTCTTAAATATCCTCGTAATTTTAGTAATGATAAAATAGCTGATACTTATGAAAAACTTGCTAAAAGTGTTGGTGAAAATACGGACATCAAAATAGGTAAGATTTATTTTTCTGGAACTGTGAATCGAGTAGCTTTTTTTTTGCTTGAACCCGCGTCATCAAATACATCTCTATTGTGTCACTTTACAAGTTTTTTTGAACGGTGGGGATATTTTTAAACTAGAAAATAATTTGTCCCAAAACATTGATCATTTGTTACCCTATCAAAATCACTAAGAGCTCTATAGTTAATGTTGGTACTCAGACTCATGGTAAACCTAAGATTTACATTATACCAGTGTTGTCTAGACTTTTGTAGCTAGGCACACCTAAGGGGTAAGCCATGACCAAAGTCGCGCACATCATTCGGCTCATGTCAGTTTCAAAAAATTTCTAAGGCACACAGTTTGTGCAACACTGTATTAGATCGTAGTCTAGGCTTTGGAGACTAAGTCCTTCCTTATGATAACTTGATTAAATTTTTTATTTTACTTTTTTTTACCTGACATTATTATCATCTTATTTCCAAGGCGTGGAAACTCAGAATTGATCCTGAAAAATTCCAAAAATCCTAAAACATCCCTGAGCCAATAAACATGAAAGGTGAAATCCCTTTTAAATCCCTGATGCATTTGATGAATAACTTCGGGATTTAAATTGGATTAGGATTTTTGGGATTTTTGGGATTTTTCAGGATTAATACTGAGTTTTCACGCCTTGCTTATTTTTCACATTAATACTTTACAGCCAACAAAGTTTACATCATGAACAATTACACAATTAAGCCCTCATTCCAGCAATTAGTGACAAGGAGCTTTAAATCTAAAGCTGAAAGCATTGACTTTAAAAAGAATGTCGAGGCAGCAGGAATTATCAATGAATGGATTGAAGGTCAGACAGATAATATGATCAACAATCTTATATCACCTAGCTTGCTCAATAACGACACAAGGATGGTTCTTGTCAACACTGTTTATTTCAAAGGCATCTGGCAATATAAATTTGAAATCTTGAACTTTAGAAACATGCCGTACGTAGAACCTTTCTATGTCAGTGAAACTGAGTCAGTTGACATTGAAATGATGAAATTGAACGAAAATCTATTTTATGCGGATTTTGATGAATTTGATGCAAAGGCACTGAGGCTTCCATATAAAAACTCTAGTGTTGAAATGCTTATAGTGCTGCCAAGAAAAAGAACTGGCTTAGCTGATTTGGAAGAAAAGCTAAGCAGTTTAAATATTAAACATTTATGGAAGGAAATGTATGAAACCAAAGTTGATGTGTCGATACCAAAGTTCAAGATCGAGTATGAAATTGAATTGAAGGAACCACTTGAGAAGGTAAACTGCAATATGACCTTATTTTGACTAAAAACTCTATTTTTTTGAATTTCTCATATAGATGGGTATGAAGCGTATGTTCTCAAATGATGCAGAATTTGGTAACATGTTAAACAGCAATGAGCGCTTACATATCTCAAAAATCATCCATAAATCCTTAATTGAAGTCGACGAAGTGGGCTCTAAAGCTGCGTCATCAACGGCTGGTAAGCTTAGTCATTGTTATTATTTTCATTGCACTTAAATAACTAGTTAATTGAATTTTAGGAATGGTTCTTGAGACCCGAATGGGAGGAGACTTTGATTTGGAAAGAGAAGAAAATTTTTATGCTGAACATCCTTTCTTGTTCTTTTTGATTGAGAAAAAAACAACTCAAATTTTGTTTTTGGGAAGAGTTGTGAAATTTTAATTTTGTTTTTGTATTTTAACTATTTATATTTGGGGTTTCCAAGGCTTGGAAACTCAGGATTAAACCTGAAAAATCCTGAAAATTCTTAAAAAATCCCTGAGCTAATTAACATGACCCTTTTAATCGTGTTTATTGACTCAGGGATTTTTTTACGGTTTTTGGGGATTTTTCGAGATTATTCCTGAGTTTCCAAGCCTTGGGGGTTTCTTCTTTTATTGCTTACAAAGAATAATAAATTTAATATAAATTGCAATTGCGTTGGGTTGTTGAACTTAACTTATGAAAGTCCAGATCAATTTGATTAGAATTAGTCATGATTAACTTGACTCCTTTTGATGAAACACGACTAAAACGTCTTTAAACATCCTTAAACTTATTCAACAGAATCAACTAAGTTTCATTTCCTGTCACATACTCATAAGCCAAGCAATCAATATCCGAATTCTGAAATTCCATAAAATCTCAAACTCAATTCACAAGAATTTTGATTCCATTCAAACTAATCATATCCTAATTTGCCACTGACTCTTTTTGTTTCTTTTATCTTTATCCTTTTACATCAAAAATACAAAAATTTTTAAAAATTTGTCGAAAAAAAAACCTCTTTTTAGTCATCAAAAGTTGACAAACTAGATAAATAATTTTTGTATTTAACAAATGACATTTTTTTGCAGGTAAAAAATAAAATGTTGTAAAAAATAAAATGTTGTCAATAAAAAAAGAAGCAAATAAAAAGAGAATTTAGAGCACAAGAGTTGATTGCTCATGTTTGTCGTATGAAATTTTTTATTGCACTCATCTTTCATTCTTCTCCTTAAAAATTTGCCTTCTTGCGTCCCTTTTTGGAGATGCCTGGTAAGTCATAAAAAAATTCGAACACTAAAAAAAATTTCGGGAAAAAGTTGATTTTTTTAAGTTTTGTGTCGTCCTTGCTCTGAATTGGTTTTTGTCAATATTAAGTAAAGATGATGTTTAAGGTACAAAGCGCTTTACTTAACTGCCTGAACTAGTCAGGACTAGCTTAAAAAATCTGCAAAAACTTGCATTTCGTTATTACTGATTTTTTTTGTTTCTAGATTAGTGTTGCCTAATTTGTGTGCCGCGGTACACTGGTGTGCCGTAGAATATTTTTAAAATAACATGAGGCGCATGTTGTATGTGACTTTGGTCATGCCTTACCCCTCAAGTGTGCCGTGGCTCAAAAAAGTTTGAACAACACTGTTCTAGATAAACAGGCCTCTCACTTATGACGGTCAGGAGGCAAGAATGAACAATAGAAATACTTGTTATTTTTTAAAAAATGACCGTTAATTTCGGACGTCATAAGTGAACGATCCCTTATCTCCATCTCATTTTTTAAAAATACCCAAATGCAGACCCAAACACTGATAATAAAAAAAATTGTGTGATCCAATTGCAGTCACAGATAGTTGACTTTTTATGAATATATTGAGCTATTGTTTGTAAAAGAAAAGGATAAAAAAGCAGTTTTTTTTATTATTTTATTGTTCAAGAGAGTCAGTAAGTTGTGTTTTATGTCTATTTCATGGAATTGCACACCCGAAATTGAGAGTCGAGAGAAAAAAAGTGACCTGATTGTAAAAAATAATTGGATCATATTTTATTTTTAAGTTTTGCCTTTTTTAAAACATGTTTTTTTTCGTAAAAAAAGACCTTCAAGGATGACAAAAATTTGCAATCTTTTGTCATTTAAATTTTTCGTTTTTTTGGTATTTTGGTATTTTTTTACCTCTGTTAGAGTTACTTTTTTTTAACTGATTACTTAATTCTTTTATTTACCAAGTGTCCTTAACGTAATTTCATGAAATAGTGCAGATTTTTATTTATGAGTTTATTGGTTGATACTTTTTACGGTTGCTAAAGTTTCCTTGATTTTTATTTTTATAATGTATTTTTTTTTTAAATGGTTATTGGTGAATCTTTAACTGATTATATTAGAGCTCATAGCCGATAGGGTTCGAGTCCGCTCGAGTTGACTCGATACGACTTAAAACCGAGTCCACTCAACTTTTCTCGAGTCAACTTGAGTCGACTTCGAGCTCTGGATTATATCTTTAAAACTAGTCTGACTTGTATACGTACTTACTTCCTTGGTTGGGGCGCACGTTTGCCCATTTTCGCGTTCAGAGATCTTCGAGACCTTCTGCCAGTTCGGGATATTAAAGACTCTAGCGTCCTTATTAACACATCCAATCCAGGTATTCTATGGTCTTCCTCTAGATCTCTTGCCATCTAAACAGTCTGCAATAGTCACTCTTAGTACTGGAGCATCTTGTGGACGTCTAAACACATGCCCAGCCCAGATTTGCACGGAGAACCGTAATAATATCAGCATCCTGGAATAACTGATATAGTTCGTCATTGTGTCGGCTTTGAAACTGTTTTCCCTTTTTCATAGGACCATAAATCGCTCGCATAACTCGTATTTCAAAGACACCAATAGAAGACACCTGACTTGTATACTTTTCATTAAAAACAAAATTAAGTTTTGTAAAAAAAATAATTTTTTATTAAATTCTTCCTTATATGATTGCATATAGTCTTATCCACATCAAAATATTCACAATATAACTCATATCAAGCTAATGCCAAAGGTGTAAAAAAAGTAAATCTCTTTTCTAGTTTAAAAATTTGTATCTAAAAAACTAAGAACTATTAAAAAATTATAGAAATGTAAGTTTTTTTTATTCCTTACTCTTAAGGTAGCTACAACTGCGTTGGAGATTATCTGACCCTTGACTTATAAAAGACTATTACCACTTGCAAATTATTGAACATCCTGAGCTTGTTCTTCCTGATTCAGCTCATCCTGAGTCTTCTCATCCTCATAATCAATTGATTCAGCTTCATTTCTCTTGTCACTTAACATATCAATGATTTCAGCAGTTTCTTTGCATTGATTAAGGAAAATGTATCTCAATGTTTGGATTCTTGGCTGTTTGTAGTCAACATTAATGCACAGATTCCCATTTAAGTATAATTCACGAAGCTCATTATTGAATTCAAAGGAACGTGGAGCAACAAAAGCAATTCTGTTTTCACGAAGGTTGATCAATGATAATTTCTTGTTACTTCCAAACATATCAGCCTCAATAGCTGCCAGCTGATTGCCACTGAGATTGATTTTTTCCAAAAAAGCTAAGGTTGAAAAGATTTGTGGATGCAAATAGTCAAGGTTGTTTTTAGATAAATCCAAATCCTTTAAGTAAACGATATCTTGGAATGAATCATAGTCGATCTTCATAAGCTTTCCATTTGATACATCAAAACCTTCCAAATGTGTCAAATAATCCATGCTTTCTTTCGTAATATGTTCAATATTGTGACGTAATAATCCATAGTAAGTCACACTAGAAAATGTCCCAAAAAGTGAATCGTCTGCAACTTGACTCGAGTCTCCAATAAGCAAACCTTTAATTGGTTCATTTCCAATTCTTTGGACAAGAGGGATGTGTTGAGGTAGTGAGACGCCGATGGTACAAACGAGAAAGTTTAGACCTTCAACTGGCTTCATATGGCGATAAAAGATACATTCAGAATCATGATAAGCTCGAGAATTTGCCACCATGGAGATGGTCAGCAGAAAGAAGAATCTACAAATGAATGAAATCTAAAATTAATCTAAGGATTAATTGACAGCTATACTTCCAAATTATTCTAAAATAAATAATAAATAAGCTTTAATAAATGAAAATAACGACATTTGTTTATATATCCTTATCAAAAATATAAAAATTCTTTCATGGCTTTTTGCGAAAAAAGAATGTCATTTTTTATATACTCAAATGGAACCTCAAAGGTTAATAAACCATCTCATTTGGAAGCTGATTAAAGAATAAAATGTCTCATGTGATAGTTAAAATGAATGGTGACTTAATGAAATTGGCAATTTTTGAATTGTTTTAAATATAATTTGCTGATTGTTTTATTCTTGCTAAGCTTAGGAGTCGTTCATTTATGACGTCCAAAATTAACGGTCATTTTTCAAAAAAAAAGAATTTCTATTGTTTTTTTTCTGGCTGACCCCCCCCCCCCCCCCCCCCCCTCCCCTCCTTTCTCCTGGACGTGATAAGTGAACGGCCCCCGCGAAACTGAATATTTCGCTAAAATTTGAATATGCACTTAAATTGTAATTTAAGTCAATCCTTAAACAACGCTATTTTATGATAAATTATCATTCATTTTAGACATTTTAATTAAATATTAATTAATGACTCACATCTTCATTTTAGTGTTTCTTAAAGGACACAATAAAAAATTGGTGTTTGCAGTACACCCGTCAAATTGAGACTGAATTCAAGGCTTTAATGAGCCATGATCATTTTATTAATAAATGAGAGAAAAAAAGAGAATAACTCTAATTAATTTAATGAGATTAATACTGGCTCTGTACACATCTATTAAAAGTGGAAGTTATTTTGAACTTGTCTATGCTAAGTGTTTGAATTTTAGCACTTAGCTAGTTTATAGGCAGTTCTGTATAGACTTATTATAAGAGTGTATTTTTTGGTTGCATCAAATTGCATCAATTAAAGATCTTTGCGCAACTTTTTCATGCTCTGAGAAAATATTTACATTAAATTTTGATATTAAAATTAAAAATCAATCCTTGGTCATAAAAAGCATTAGGATGGTCCCAACCTGTTAAGCTGGAGGCACTGCGATTCAAATTATAACATAATCGTTTGTACCACATCCTTTAGACCTACAGTTTATAGTGTAATGTGAACCACTTGCAAGCTCTGCACATTGCAAAGTCACGAGTACGTCATAAGACCTGTTGTACCCTGCAATGTATCTTGTCACAATCCATATGCGCAAGATGCCGTAATGAAATCACCCAGATGATAGTTTATCCTAGTATACTTAGTACAGGAGACAGTAAAAGTGCCGAAGACCTCAAAACTACACCCAACACACAAACCTAGCTTCGTATCTAGAACGGTGGCATGGAAAAAACTTGACTTGGCCTGGAATGAAACCCAGAACCTTGGTACAAAAGGCCAACGCTCAACCACTTAGGCCACTGATGCCATTTCACCACTTCCTTGGTCAATATTTCGTTCGTATTTTAAGAACCAAATTCGAAGATAAACTGACAGCCTATCAACCTTTAACTCACTCGTCAACAGCAAATCCATTTTTTGTCTCAAAAATCAACCAGCCTCAAATAACAACAAAAACAATCACAGATTCGCGTGTTTATGTTAATGTGGGTCATGTACTCAAAAATATAAAATCTGTAATCACTTGTGTCCGTACTTAGATTATTGTAGACTCGACTTTCAATAACTCTTTCCACGAGTAAAAAATAATCTTTATGAGAAGCTCGTGTGGACTTTAATTTCTGGTATGACTACACAAATATGTTTTTGTTCACATAATTGAAGAGATTTCACGTACCGGAATGAAAAAATTGAACTCTTTGGCTTTTTTTAAATATTATGACCAAAATAGACGCTAAAATTAAATTTATTCTCAAATAATTGAGGAAATTTGTATGAACAAATATTTATAAAAATAGAAATTTAATTCGGTTTTTGAAGGTTTTGAATGAGTTAATCTGGATTAGTGCTAAGTAAATTAGCATTTGGTGAAAAAATCAGAATTTTATTAAAAATTTAGCGACTAGATTATTGCATATGAAGCGATAACTCAATCTTTAGATTATACTTTTAGAGGACATCTTAGTTCCTAATCTTAGAGTTAAAAATAATTATGAATTTCATTATAGAAGCTCATTTTAGATTAGAGGTTAGCAATGATGAAGTTTGATCCGAATTCTTTGAATACGACTTACTTACTTGCTTACATGCTTACTTCGCTGGTCGTACAGATCAGTTGTGATCCATGACCTCCCTTAAGCATCCCCTAAAATTAGTTCCATCGCTGGCTACCGTCTGCCAATTCCCGATTCCAAATGCAGCACTATCTCTATGAACAGCCTCTAATTCTGTTTATGAAATGAAAAAATCATTAAACCTATTGCCACACAAATCAAGTTATAGACACATGTCTCCAATATTCAGATTCTGTGTCCCTATCTGCCTAGATATTATCCTCAAGTCTTTTTACCATTCACAACCAAAATCAATCAAAATAAAGCAAATCGAATGCAAGAAAAAAAACTTCAGAAATGTCCAAATAAATCAGTTCACATGTAAATAAGCCATTGAAGCATGACAAATCTGCCTTCATTGTCAGAGATCCTCAAAAGTAAAAGAAATTCCTTTGAAAAAATTCAAGTCTTGCAAAAAAACGAGAAATTTGCATGCGTGAGGACAAAAAAAATGTTGATGCAATAAATTTTTTTCCTGTCAACGGCAAAAGAACATTTTTTTGGGTCTTTTGTGCCAATATTTTTAAGTGTCTTCCTCGTTCTGTCTCTGTTATGCTTATTGATTTGAACTGTTTCTGTTCTTATCGCTTTCGATTTGTCAATAGGAATTTTTGCTTTATTTTTTTTTGGGACAATCATCAAAGGTTGAAATTGTTTTGGATTGAAATGTATAAGTATGCAAATAGGGGAAGACTTTAGGATATTATAAAAGAATTTGAAGAAGCAGAAGCCATAAGAAATCTAGTAGAATTTGAGCATTTTTATGTAGAACTTAAAAGGGAATAAATAAGTAAATTTTGATGTCGAAGAGTTTTGAATGCTTTAATTAGATTTAAGGTTTAAAAAAATTGGATTCTTCGCTCTAAAAACTTATAAAACTTTTACAAAAATTCTCAGCATAATTTAAAATCTATTCCAAATTCATTTTGTTGACAATTTTATCCAAAACGTTGACAAAAATAATTTAAAATTAAATAAAAGTTAATTGAATTTGACAGTTGATGATGAACTCAATCATAACTTTACAACTTAACACAAATTTCATTTTTCTCACACATTACTAATTATGTTTCCAAAATCGTCAAATCTTTTTTAAAATGAAATAATTTTAAAGAATTCTCGTTTTAATTTTAAAAAATTATTTTACCTTTTCATTCTCGAAAAAAAGTCCATGAAATTCGACACTTTTTCACTCTCTTTTCAATCAATCAATTCACATTGCAGATTGCAATTGAGCCTCGCTTTTTGTGGTTCTTTCGTTTTCCGGGTTTTTAAACAAACAAACAAAAAAACAAAATTAAGGCGGACTTTTTTTGCAAAATAAAATGTTTGTAAAGAAAATAAAAATTCGAGATGAAAATAAAATTAAACTTTCACTTTAATTTTACTTTTCATTTTCGTCCTGTTTTGAAAGTAAAAGGCATCGCATTTAATTGCAATGAAATTTGATTCCATTTGCAGCAATTTCCTTGAAGATTCTTAAATGTAAAAAATAATGTAATTCAAGATTGCAGCAGCATTTAGTTCTGATGGTCCATTGTTTGACGATGTTGCAGGAAATTTGCTTTTCTGTTAATGATAGAGCATTGAATTTTTTGTAAGAGGATGGACCGGCTTGATGTTTCTTTGTGGTTTTACGAATGGATTTTTTTAGCGCATTTTTGAAACTTGTTTCAAAAAGGTAGCTTAATAACGCACTATGTTCGGCTGGTCGGCTGGTCGGCTGGCTGGTCGGCCGCTAAGAAAAACTTTTAATCTAGACATCGTAGAGAGTTCTAGTTTTTTGCATTAGTTCCGTTATATCGAGTTATTGGCCCGCCGGACATTTAAAAATCTTAAAACAGTGTATTTATGCTATAATTAATGAATTTTTGTTTTGTTTTCAGTGTAACCTGCTCAAATTTTATTTTACCTCTATAATTTCAATATTACCTCTATAATTTCAAAAAATTTCTAGCCGTTGTAAAATTTGAATTACAAAAAACCGTTAAATGATAAACTTTTTTTGTATGGAAATTCATTGGAACAAATTATTTAATTATACTATAATTAATTTTTTCGTAGTGCAACTTATAGCGGGAAAATTTCAAACTATTTATTGACCGTTAGAAAATTTGAATTACAAAAAAATGTTAAATGATAAACCCTTTCTGTATGAAAATTCATTGCAACAAATTATTTAATTATACTATAATTAATTTTTTCGTAGTGCAACTTATAGCGGGAAAATTTCAAATTATTATTATATTGACCGTTAGAAAATTTGAATTACAAGAAACCGTTAAATGATAAACTCTTTCTGTATGGAAATTCATTGCAACAAATTGTTTAATTATACTATAATTAATTTTTTCGTAGTGCAACTTTTAACGGCAAAATTTCAAATTATTTACTGACCGTTAGAAAATTTGAATTAAAAAAAACCGTTAAATGATAAATCCTTTCTGTATGGAAATTCATTGCAACAAATTATTTAATTATACTATAATTAATTTTTTCGTAGTGCAACTTATAGCGGGAAAATTTCAAATTATTTATTGACCGTTAGAAAATTTGAATTACAAAAAACCGTTAAATGATAAACCCTTTCTGTATGGAAATTCATTGCAACAAATTGTTTAATTATACTATAATTAATTTTTTCGTAGTGCAACTTTTAACGGCAAAATTTCAAATTATTTACTGACCGTTAGAAAATTTGAATTACAAAAAATCGTTAAATGATAAATCCTTTCTGTATGGAAATTCATTGCAACAAATTATTTAATTATACTATAATTAATTTTTTCGTAGTGCAACTTATAGCGGGAAAATTTCAAATTATTTATTGACCGTTAGAAAATTTGAATTACAAAAAACCGTTAAATGATAAACCCTTTCTGTATGGAAATTCATTGCAACAAATTGTTTAATTATACTATAATTAATTTTTTCGTAGTGCAACTTTTAACGGCAAAATTTCAAATTATTTACTGACCGTTAGAAAATTTGAATTACAAAAAATCGTTAAATGATAAATCCTTTCTGTATGGAAATTCATTGCAACAAATTATTTAATTATACTATAATTAATTTTTTCGTAGTGCAACTTATAGCGGGAAAATTTCAAATTATTTACTGACCGTTAGAAAATTTGAATTAAAAAAAACCGTTAAATGATAAACCCTTTCTGTATGGAAATTTATTGCAACAAATTGTTTAATTATACTATAATTAATATTTTCGTAGTGCAACTTTTAACGGCAAAATTTCAAATTATTTATTGACCGTTAAATAATAATCCTTTCTATATAAGCATTCATTGTAACTTTTTGTTAATTACACTAAAATTAATGATCTTCTAATCTTCTCATGATCTGTAAATGAACGCAAAATAATTACATAATCAAATACTGATCGCTAACACAAAAATGCGCTTAAGTCCCTCGATCAATAACACG